AATTTCTATAAACACATGCAAAATAGCGACAATTTATTGCGCTCGCTGTGTTCATAATAACCTTATTTTCTCCCGTAAAAACGTCAAAGTCCATGCCTGGATTTGGATGAATTTTCAGTAGCGGATTTCGCTTTGTTGCCATCTTGGTGGATACTCTATTATGGTTTGCAATTTCCACCCTTTCTTTCGACGCTGTTTTGTTTCTTATGCGGGGGTGGATAATACGCCAACTGATACCTTTCAAGGGCCAAAAATACCCCTAATTCATTTTAAGGTTGTTTTTATGGGTTATAATCGCGTGAACCGGCCTTTAATAAACTTTCTCGAATCAATCATTTCGGTCCCTTATCAAATACCAAAGTATTTTAAATTATATTGCTCTCGAACGAGTCCGAGGGAATTGCGTTTCGTTCGAACAATCAATGATGTTATGGGTTTTCATTATTTCTCTTTGCTTGTAATAACGTCCAGTGGCGTATCACCGCATCTTAACGATAAACTAAGTTTACGCCGCCTTCAATGAAATCACATATCCCGACAAACAAGAGAAAATTACCAAAGTAATAACCTTATTTAAGGTCCACTTCATAAAGTGGTTGTTTGAAACTGAATCCGTTGAGATCTCGTCCATGATGTGATTTGATTTTAGCGAACATCGAACCAATATCCCGCAGGATTAAAGGACTACAACTTTATTTCAGCTCTACGAGTGCCATATCAACATTTATTATCGTTTTTATGTATTTTGTTTGAGCTTCTTGAATTTTTCAACTCTTGGATACAGTTTTTTTTTTTTGTTGGAATCAGCGACGAATTCTAAACAAACGAAAAGTTTATTTGTACAGCATTAGAAGTTACAACATGACAGAATAATGTTTAACGAAATTTTAGAACGAGTCGTTTGATCGCTCATGTACGAAATTTAACTGTTACCTTTATACCTTCACTGCCAATGCGAACAGCTTTAATAAGCAAGCACACAACACAATTAAATATTAACAGACAGTTCACTGGTTTTTTGTTTCTACACAAAATGAACGCAAATTGCTCTAAAGCCATCGGCGAAACACTTGTCTAAAATAAAACGTCAAGAGAATACCACACAAAACGATTATAGTTTAAAATGATATACCACTCCTTGAACTAGTTTTGCTATTAGACAAATAAAATCTGTTAAAAAACGATTTTTCACATTTTTAAATTGTTATTAATCAATTAAGGCATTAAACAACAAAATGGTGCCTCATTTATTTAAACACTATGTGACTGTGATTTTTTTGACTTTATTAGAAACTTTCTCGATAACTATTTATCGTAGAACATCGACTTTTTCTGTATCTGATTGAAAATTAAATTTTCTTTCCAACGGTAGCAAACATAAGAGGTTATCACCACTAAGTCCGGAGTTATTGGCAATAAACCTTTCCGGGTGCCAAAAATCGACAAAAATCTCCACAAAAATCCAAAAAAATTTCGACTTTAAAATTGATCCATATAACGTTTTTTACATTTCTAAAGGTCTTAAAGACTCACAAAAGTGTATAAAACGTTATTGGGGCACTTTTTGAGTTTATGAAGGTAAAATCGTAAAATCGTAAAAATAGTTAATTTACCTTAAGACATATGGTTTTTTGACGTAAAATTACGCGCTGAACACGATGAAACAAGTTAAAATACTTGACGATGCATAGTTTTTGAGATATTGAGTAATAAAGTTAAGAATAAGGCTAAAAGTAAAAGCACTATATCCGATTTTGACCAAAAAAAAAATAAAAAATTTACTGCTATAAAATAAAAAAAGATTTTTTTCATTAAAACTTACAACTTTCATGTCATCATGCTTTATCATTAATTTGTCTTTTATCAAAACTCATGTTTTAAGAAAAAAAACTATTCAAATAAGAGAAATCAATTAGGAGTAAAATTTTAAAAATGTTTTTTTAATTTTTTTTTGTTACCTAATTACACAATGACCTTCCTTAATATGCAATTTGTTATTTTTTATCATTAACAGATAAATTTCATGAAATTAAGTGAAATTTTGTTAATATTTTAAAGTAGAACTATTCATACTCCAGATGTAAATTTTTGCCCTAATATAAATTCAACAATTTTTGTCATTCCTAATGTTTTCCCATAAAATATTAAAAATATTTTTGGTTTCTGCCTAAAACTTCAAAACAACTCAGTTTTTTAATAAGTAATACCAACATTTATTCAAAATAAAAATTATTTTTGAGAAAAATCAATCGCATTTGTCTAATTTCCTTTGTTAAAAGTAAACTCTCGTATCGTTTATTTTTCGTTCAAACTAGTTCCAATTTTAGGCAATAATCGAAAGGGCTTAAGTTTCATCCACCGTATCAGCTCACTGACCAGTTTAATATTTTATCCCCCGGATTAAGATTGGAAGAAGCAATTAAGAATTATCGAACCGGTTCGCTTTTAGTAAAGTACGTATCAGACAGAATTCCGGGTTCGATTTCCGCCCCAACCCCGAGAATGTATAGTGTTTGAGTTCTCCTCCTCCATTAGGGCATTAAAATTTCCTAATGCGGCCCTCGAGCGATGCGAAAAATTTGACTAAGCCAATGATCAGGCAGCACTTTAAACTTTTGCTGTCGTAAATAAAGATTTGTCAGAGATTCCGCATACGGACTTGATTCACGAACATATTTTTTACTTAATCCTAATAACCAGGATTTGAAATTTCCCTTGATAAATTTGCCTTGATTGCCTCGAATTTCCTGATTTATGGCCCCATCCCCAGAGTGCTCCAAAAACTGGAAAATCCTAATCATCTCATTTCTTGTGTTTATGATAAATATTTGCGCCAATTGCTGCGATAAATTACACAAAACGCGAGGCGCGCTTTATTGACAATCCGACTCTGCAAGAAATCAAAACCAGAAAGCCGGACATATTAATAACCCTCAATTCCACCTATGGGAAACGGACATTGATTGACTGTTATCGGAAATGTACGGATTGCGATTTATTGCTCTTATGATACTCAAAATTATTCTATCAATGTCCTCTGCACCACTACCGATAACGAGCTTTCGAGAAACTCATCACGGCTTTAATTTAATCGCAATTTCGGTCTCGCTCACTGATAACAACAATACAAAAACTCAATTGGGGATTGTCTTAAACAGCCCTCTCCGAGGTCATTAACCTCGCAAATCCAACACCCGAAAAATAACTAAAATGCGCAATTACAGCAACAAACTAACTAATTAACTAAAATTAAGTAAGAACTAATACTCACCATGGTCTTGGAAGCACAATTTTTGAAAAACTTGAGTTCAAAACACAAAAAATTCAAACAATCAAACTACAAAAAACAAATCAGGTGGCGCTAGTGTCGTTATGGCGCAAAATTTAAAACTCAGACTAAAACCAAGTAAAATAAACAACTATTTTTATACAATTTTTTTTAATTGCATACTGAGTGTCTTTAAAATTAACAGAAAACACCAATCTTACTCCCACTGACAGAAACGCAAAAATAAAAAATCAAAAATAATAACTACGTTCTTTGAAGTTTTTTTGACAATTGACATAATTTTCTGACGCCAATAACAGGCATTACAATATCTACAGGGTAATTAAAATTTCACAAGCTAAATTCAACACACAAAAACTAAACATTTCTTTTTTAAAATCGTCCGTAGAACAAAAACACGTTTGTATTGCTGGTTGCATAACATTTATTTTTTACTTCTCGATTTTGTTATTTTTGATTAAAAACTATATTGTTTAATTAATTGCCGTGCGCTTGCAAACAATTAAGTGCCACTCTGTACTGCAAAGTTGTTTACAAAGCAAAATATTTTACAGTGTAATTAGCTCATCAATACTTGATTAAAAATGTCGAAGAAACGCTATTTCACCGGAAACGAGTAAATAAATAACCCTGTTATTAAAAAGAGGAACAAAAGAAAAAGCCACAATCGATAAATCAAATGTATGGAAAATTAATAATCAGAAAACAAGCGTCGAGAATCGACCAGCAAAATGAGAAACGTGACGAGAAACAAGCACAAAATGTAATAAAAATAAATCAAAATGATCCCAACCCTCGTTCTACACCGAAAGGATCTCATTCTAAAATAACTGGAAAAATCCGGAACTGTAGGCCAAATAAATTGTGACAATAGAAATGATTGATGCAGATTTGTATTAATCTAATTTCTAATCAATCAGTGTTGCAAACTGTGTTTAATTTCGTTTCGTATCTAAATTCACATCGGTTCAATACCGCAGCAAACTATAAACTAGCATTTTGTTCAATAAACCCAAACAGGAACTACACAAGTTTATAAAGAAAAGCGATCCCAAGCTGTTCTAATAAATATATTTCGGAGAATCCACCACATTTCCTATTTTTCCTAATATACTGTCGGACTTGAAACCGAATCATCTCGGATAAACTACAAACTACTTTTTTGCGCTGATTTCAAATTATTATTAAATTGAAATTTGGAGAAACGTTCCATCTTGCTGCTGCGACCCAAATTGCAGCATTATTTGTCAGCATGTAGGACAGAATAAAGCGAAAACGTGATTAGTAAGTGATCAATCTCCTTTGGCTGTCAGAATTTCGAAGAAAGCACGAACAAGCAAAATTTCATTTCAACCACACGACTCTAACACACACATACAGTGCAAAAAAAGGAATTTGATGGATTACTATTTATAATAGCTCGCTTTTTTTATTTCTCTCTAAATCAATTTACTGGCGCCAACTGAGGACACAATTTTTTTAATTACTCAGTTTAGTACACGCGTGAAACGTAGCACGTGGCGACATCCCGTAGCGCAGCGTCAAAACCGGCAATTTATTGCAGTTTCTTGCACATTAGGCACATTTATTGCAAATAAATCGGCTTGTGGGTTTGTTATCAAACAATTCGACTTATTTCGGGATGTGTAAAAAAAGTAAGTGTGTTTTTTTGGTAAAAATGTATACCGATTACAGGTTTCTTTTTTACCAGTTGCCAGAATTACGTCAGTGAGGAAATCTAAATATGGTGGATTATGTTTTTTATGTGTAGTGTTTATTTAAAAAAATCGTGTGTTTATTTTCCGTGTAATGTTGGACAATTTAAAGAGTAAGTACGGCAAGTGACGTCAGTAAAGTAGTGTTTTATCTTGACCTTTTCTATTTAAATTGTTGCAGTCATCTTTGTGATACGTTGATGTCATCTCACATTGGTGGACTCTCAAGGTTACAATTCACAGGTCAATTTATCGATTGTATGTGGTTGATAATTAAAAATATAAACAAAACTTGATTTGGTTTTCTTGTAGGTGCACAAATCTCGCAACAATGACAATGCAACAGTATTGCTTGAGATGGAACAACCATCAACCAAACTTCATTTCGGTCTTTTCTAGTCTTCTGAATAGTGAGTCACTTGTTGACGTTACTCTAGCCGCCGAAGGCAGGCATTTGCAAGCACACAAAGTGGTTCTATCCGCGTGCAGTTCATATTTTCAAGTAAGTCGCCCCCAGGGTCGTAAAACCGCTCATTTTCTCACTTTTCAGTCTTTGTTCACTATCAATCCTTGCCAACACCCCATTGTGATATTAAAAGATGTTAAATTCACTGATTTGAAAGTTATGGTCGACTTTATGTACTATGGGGAAGTCAATGTCTCGCAAGAGCAACTACCACACATCCTCAAAACCGCTGAAATGTTGAAAATCAAAGGTAAAACAACTCGAATCAAAAATTGTAATTGTAATTTGATTTTGAAATAGGTTTGGCTGAAATCCCCGTCGATCAATCGGTGTCAAAAGCCCAGAATAGTTCAACCGACAAAGCAGAACTCTTGACCCCCGGGGAGACGAATTGGAGCACGGACGGGGCCCCCAGACAGTCTCTATCACCGTCGCCTTGCCCCCTGTCGCCCACCAGTAAACGGTATTCAAGCCCCAATTCTGCCCGAGCCCCACTTTAAAACTTTCTTTCTAAAATTATAATACAGACTGAACCAAAAGTAACGCACAAAATTCATATCTTTGTTATGAGACATTTTTCAAAAAAATTCTCAAACAGGTCGATTTTATTTTTTACTTATACCTTACTAAAACGTGATAGCTTGAACGTTCTCACACTCGTGTAAAACGTTAATTTAACCATCTTTGTCACGCGATAGCAATTGTTTTTTTCCTGGAAATTGTTGGAAAATTTGGAAGCACTAAAAGTAGAAAACGGCAAAAGGTGGAGATTGAGTGAAGGTAAGAAACAAAAATTCAATCATAATTCTACAAAGTAGTAGTTTCATAGAAAAAAGGTCTAAAAGGGTTTAAATTAACGTTTTAAAGAAAAACATCACTAAGAGTGCGTTGGCTTTTAATCATTCAATCTGACACTTTTGACAGTTGACATTTCGCGACAATCTAGCTCACACTCTTCAAGAAAATCAAACAATTTTTTTAAGTCATATTTTTTTTTTTTGAATCCACTGAGAAAAAAATTGACGAAATAGTCCCTTATCTAACATTAATTTTTCGTGACTAAATTGGAAAAATTAATTTATCATTATTTCTGCGTCTTTTTCAAAGCAAATCCGAATTGAATTAAAATAGTTTTTTTATGGATCATCGGTGAGTTTTTTTACAAAATCTTGAATTTATTAGTTGGACATATTTGTTAATTTATTGGCCAATAATAATTATTTCCCATTCACGTAATTACCACTATCGTGAGAACAAACCGGTTTTTATTTCTTATTGGCTAAAATTATTATTTTTAATAATTATAATATTAGACCAATAAAAAGTAAAAAGTTTTTTAATGCGTTAAAGTTGAGTTTCATTGTTCGATCCTTAGCCAATCAATTGCGTTTTTTAAAATCAACCAATCAGAAGACGTCTTAGATTTTTCGACAAGAAAAATAAAAATCTAAAATCGGTTTTAAAAATCGGCTTCTTTGATTTTATTGTCAATATAAAAAAATATATTTGAAGAATAAACGTTAATTAATTTTCTTTACTGTCAAATGTCAAAATTTGACATTTTTGGAAAATTTAAATAACAATGTTTTGTACTAAAATTTGTATTTTGATCAATTTTTTATTCAAAAACACCGATTCGAATTTTAAAAACTACATTTTGACACTATGGTGACATTTATCACGTCATTTGTATTCGAGTAATGATGTCACTTTAATTTTTTTTTAATGTCAACCGACATTTTTCATTAATGTTTCAGATAGTACACATCGTTATCTTTCTGGGATAAATAAAGCAAAAAAAAATACAAAAAAGAAGAAAATATAAAAAATAGAAAAACTTATAAAAGTTATAGAAAGTTTTATACAAAGAGCTTTATCTTCTTGTTCTTGCTTTATTTTATAAGGGGTGAACAAAAATGTCAATTGTCATTAAAAAAAAATGACGTCACAACGAATGACGTTATAAATGTCACTATATTGTCAAAATATAGCATAAAAAAATCGACCTGTTGGAGGATTTTTTTGAAAAAACTGCTTTAGCCCCACTAAAAATTTTGGGCGCCCCCAACTCGCAGTAATTGCAATTGATTGAAAAAATTTCAGAAAACGGTTACGAAAATCCTCAACTGGTTCTGGTTCTGGCTCAACTGAACGCACTTCAGATGAACACCAGTCCAGCGAAGTCACTTTGACATCGTCTAGTGGCACTGTTATAAAATCAGACCCGGGGGGCTACGCCTCCGATAGCAGTAGCATTTTACAGAAGAGCAAGGGGCACAGTAGCGACTCCGAGTTGCACAGAGGGAGCTCCCATGAGAGTGTCGAAGGGGAAATCACGCACCAGGTGACGTTGGTATGACAATTAACGAAATTTTTGGCCCCCCTATTGGTAATAATGTTTTTGTAGCAAGTCCCACAAGAAGTCAGTGTTCAACACGGATTGGAGACGAGTTCGTGTGAGACAGCGGGGCCCTCTCAACTAACATTAACCGGTAAGTTGATGCAATTTTAGTATGCGGTTGTGAACAAACAAAAGTGCCCCCGGCCCGGCCCCCTAACCTAGATTAAGGCTAAGAATCAACAGCAACGTGAACAATCCTGTGCCGTCCCGTGTCTCCCATCCTTTGACAGAGGCTGAGCTCAATGGGCCCCCTCATTGTTCACACTTGCCGTTGAGCTTAGCCTTGTCAAGTCACCTCGCACTCATCTAACCTAACCTAACCCTTGCAGGCATGCAGTGGAACGTGATGGACCACACCGCCTACGCCCAATTCACATCATGTACTTCCCCCACCACTTCCATAACCACGAACCAGACCTACGCCCCGTGTCCCCCAATGGCACAACAACCCATGAATCCCCCATCCCCCAACGCCCAATGCTACCAAAACCAGATAACGAACTCGCCGCCTCAGATGATACAGAAGCGAAAAAGGAGCATCAATCCGCAAGGTGACGAGAATTTCATCAGGGCTTTGGAGGCGGTGAGATTTGGAGGGATTGGATTTTGCAAGGCGGCGAGGTTGTACGGTGTTAATAATCGCACACTGTGGTTGGAGTATAAAAAGAGGGGATATCCCAACTTCCGGTTGAGTATTAAGAACCGGAAACAGGAGAATGCGCAAACGCAAGAGAATAGTCAACAGCAGACGCCACAGAGTCCACAAACGGAAGTGCAACAAGTTGAGAAACAGGAAGAGCAGAATCATCCAGTGGCGTTGATCAGTGGGGCGTTTTTCGATGGGAAACATGTTGATTTAGGGACAGTTTTGCAAAGACCCAAGTATCTAGACGCGGCGGTGATTAATGCCCAACAAGGGGTCAATTTTCAAGGGATTAACTTTGAACAAATGTAAATAACGCACCCCATGATTTGCAAAGTGTTTTATTTTTTATAAAATGATTTTAGTTTATACACCAAATATTAATGTTTACTTTATTAGTGTATCTTACGAAAGAAATGAGTAGGGTATTCAGTATTAATTCATTGTAAATAGACTGATCTCGAGACGGGTTTCAACGTGATTTTCATCTACATAGTCGGCTATAAAAAATTCCGCTTTACAAAAAATTAAATTTCGATTGACAGCTGTCACTATATGGTTCAAAAAGAGCAGAGCGGCACAGGATTTACATGTAAAGAAATTTCCGCTAGATGAAAATCAATTTGAAACACATTGTACCGTGCGATCAAAAAAATAATAAATTAGAGTAAGCGGTGATTAAAGTCCTTCAGATGGCAATCCTGATTTTTGACATCAAACTTTGACAAGTTTGCGTTTCATTCCTTTTGAGTGAAATAATGTTCACTTTAGAGCAGAAATTTTTATTGGTGTACAAGAGGAAAACGGTGAATGGTCATTTTCACTTTCAGTTTGTGCCCAGATTCCCAGCCAATGTGTTGCCAACTGTAGAATTTAATTTAATAAGCTTACTCTAATTTTTATTTTTTTTTTTGATCGCACGAGATTTCCCTGAATTAGGTCACTAATGTTTTATAAAAACACAAAAAAAAAAAAAATGCCAAGTAAAGTAAGATTCAGGAACATGAAAAAAATGTTATGTGTAAGAAGTTTTTGTATCTTTACTGAATAATTATGAAAAACATACTTATACAAGATTATCAGTAACACTTCTCTGTGTAAATTTGTAGAAATTGAGTTGTGTAAATCCGACTTTAAACATCCAGTTGTTTTTTTTTAGGGACATAGCTATCAAAAATGACAATTCTAAAAAAGTCGGGTTAGAATACTTCACATATAAAATCTACTGCGCCTGTCACAATTGTTGGCGCAATTTAGTTATTTCTGCGACCAACTTTGACAAAACCCCGTGGAGTTCAATGGTCCCTCCACGCAAAACCCACACACTAGAAGTGGCGGGATAAGTGCTGCCAACTGGGAAATAAATTGAATGGCCACTATGAATGAATTGACGACAACTTTACATGTCAAAAATTTTTGACAGATAGAATTTTTTTTTATGTTTTTGATATCTTACTTGGTATTTTTCTTTTTTTTGTGTTTTCTTAATATTGCAAAAATCGTAACAACATATTCTCTATCAACAAATAAATAAAAACATCCAGTGATGTTACAGTCCGCACGTCACTGGTAAAAGCGCTTTCAACGGCTCACAAAACCTGTAAAATTTATAAAAACCACCTAAGTGGTTTCAGAGGAACTCAAGGATGTTCATTTTTATCGTCACCCTGTATATAGGTTTGTTTGTTTGACAAATTCGTGTTATTCTCGATGTGCGGTTGCAATTTTTCGCCATATTGGGGAAACACCCTGTATATTTTTGGCGATAATTGGACTTTTTAAACGAATACAAGAAACTGAATTTTGTTTTATGAGATCTAAAAGCCCAATCTGTCGTTAGAAGTCAAATGACAGTCGACATTAAGCCGAATAAATATTTTTATTTAGGATTTTATGGTACATAGATTGTTTTTTTTATAAATTTTATAATGGTAAGTGAAACATTGAAACATCGCATTTCTTTACTTATCGGCGATTTTTGACCCATTATTTTTGTTGGGCCGTTTTAGGTTAACACTGTGTATATGAAACTAGAATCTGGGTTTGACAAAGGTTTTAATTTAGTTGCTCTGATAAAAAGTGGGTTAAAAAATTAATTTTTGGCCCCTTATTCTGACGTTAATTGAGATTTTGTTATTTGTAGAAAAACTTTTTTATAATTGTTTTGTACTAGGTAGATTAATATGTCAGTAATCCGAGTAGACTAAGCTATACCCCCGTGCTGATTAATCCCTTATTTAGATAGGCAACCCCCCAATTGTTATTAATTGTGTTTCGTTTGTTATTAATCTCACTGTTGAGTTTTATTTCGCCTGATTCTTAATCTAGCCTTACCGCAAACGTACTCTATGTCACAAAAATACAATAAAGAACAGCTTTTATAAAGTTTTTACATTGTACTTTGACTCAATCACTGAAACACCCCTCACACACCCTTGATTAACAATTAAATAAAGGCTTTGTTCTTGTAGAGAAGTCTTCGAGCAGCCAACGGAGCCCCCAGCTCGTGATGGGCACAAAACGCGGCCGCTTCCTCATGCGCCAGCCTCGGATAAAGCGCGAGAGCGACCCTAGTCAGCCCCCGGACAGTGAGCCCCTTTCGCCCCAATACCTCTCAGTTCCTGTGCGCGTTGAACGCCAATGTTCGGAGCCTCTGCCCTCGCATTCGCCCCCTCCCGGGAACCTCCTCACGGTCCCAGGCCCGGTTTTAGTCAAACAGCACTCGCATCCCTTACTGCCAAGCCAAACACAAGCGAAATCGGTGAGTTAGCCCCCCTCATTGCATCCTTTCGTTAACCTTCAAAGGGGTTTTAGATGTCGCCCCCGCTCCATATACAGATCGTCCACCAGAATGCGCCCGAGTCTGCCCAACGGGCCGTAAGCCCTGTCGTGGTGGTCGCGGACCCCATGGCGGTGTCGCCCCACGACAGCGCCGCCACGGCCCCCACGAGCTCGCTCCGGGTGAGGGCCGACGAGCTGAAGAGGAGCGCCTCATCGCCACTGGTAATGTCTCAAAGACAGGGCTCGAGCCCAGTGTTGCTACATCAAAAACATAAAAAACGCAGTTTTCAGCTTAAAAATCTGCTTAAACGATTGAAAAAAGCAAAAATGACATGCTTTTTGGCCTAATTCTGTGATTTTTCGGCTTGTTTTCAACAAAATTTTGCGAAATAATTGCGTTTCTAGTTGAAGAGCGTGCTAAAACGCTCGAGAAATGTAATTCTAGACTTAATTTCTTGATTATTTAGTCTGAGATTTTAGTACAAAAACATGCAAAGCATTTTCTGCCAAATTTGTGGTTTCTCGGCTTATTTTTGTTTTAATTTTGTTAAAAAACCAGTTTAAAATCGAGTGAAACAAACAAAATAACATCAATATCAAGACAAGATTTTGCAAAATAAATGAACCTCTGATTCAGAAACGAAGTAAAAAGAAAGTATAAAAACCAGCTAAAAAAAATAATACCAATTTCGATTTAATTTTGTAATTTTTTAGCCTGTTTCAATGTAATATTTCGAACTTTTTGTGTTTTTATCTCTCGAAAACATACTTACATAAAAAACGCCGTTTTGGGCTATTCTGTTGAATTTGTGGCTTGTTTTTGGTAAAATTGTGCAAAATAATTGTAGTAATACCTTGTAAAAAACAAATAGCACTATTTTTAACCAATTTGGTGGTTTTCGATTATTATTTCTTTTAGAAAATTTGACGAAAGAATCAAGTTAAAACCTAAGAGGTAAAAATATCATATAAATCTCGCGAAAAAAACAGAGTTTTCAGCTTAAAAATCTGCTTGAACTTTCGAAAAAAAAGACATCATTTTCGGCCTAATTCTGTTGTGTTTTTAACATAATTTTGTAAAAAAATGTGCTAAAATGGTCGAGAACTGCAAAAATTACGTAACTTTCAACTTAATTTGTTGATTTTTCAGTTCGTTTTAGCAAAATCTCACAAAAAAACATGTGATTTTAGAACAAAAACGTGTTTAAAAGCATTTTTGACCGAATTTTGTGGTTTTTCGGCTTATTTTTGACTTAATTTTGCCCAAAAAGTAGTTAAATCGAGAGAAACAAACAAGATAACATCAATTTCAATTCTTTCAATTCTAAGAGTTAGGTAAAAAAATCATAATATAATCTTTTTTTATAACAATTTAGTGATTTTTGACACGCTTTGGCAAACTCGCAAAAAAAACAGAGTTTTCAGCTTAAAAATCTGCTTGAACTTTGGAAAAAGAAAAAAATTATATCATTTTCGGCCGAATTCTGTTTTTTTTTTTTTTTGACTTATTTTTAACAAATTTTGCGTTTCTTACCGAAAAACACACTTTCAAGAAATGCAAAATTAATGTAATTTTCGACTTAATATGTTGATTTTTCAGTTCGTTTTAGCGAAATCTCACAAAAATCGTGCTTAAAAAATTGACAGCTTAATTTTGTCTTATTTTGCTCAAAAACCAGTTAAATTAAGTGAAACAAACAAAATAACATCAAAATCAATTGTTTTTGTGATTTTTAAGCATGTTTGGACAAGATTTTGCAAAATAGGTGAGTCTTTGGTTCAAAAACTAAGTAAGTCGAGCGAAACAAGCTAAAAATAATATGGATTTCGATTTAATTTGTAATTTTTGTGCCCGCTTCAACGAAATTTTGAGAATTTGCTTTGTTTTTATCTCAAAAACGTGCTTAAACACTTAAAAAGGGCAAAAATAACGCCGTTTTTGGTCGAATTTGTTGAATTTTTGGATTGTTTTTAACGAAATTTTGCGATATAATTGGGTTTCTAGCAGAAAAAGTGTCCGAAAAAGACAAAAATAAATAGTCATTTTCGATCCCGTCTAGTAAAATCTTGTAAAAAAAACAAACCGAATTATTTTTAACCAATTTGGTGGTTTTCCGACTTTTTTTGAAAATACTTGACGAAATAATCAAGTTTCTGGTTGAAAACGTGGAAAATGCTCAAAAAAAAACAGTTTTTTTCATTTCTAAAAAATCACCAGATTTGGTGAAATTTCACTACACCTGGCAACACTGCTCGAGCCACGCTTCACATTTAAGAGCAGCCTTCGCGAGTTTGTCCCACGAAACCGACTCACGTTCCAACCAATGCGATTCGGTTTGGTTAAATGCGTTATAACCGGGTGGGGTGATTTCGAACTTGTGATTGGTGCGATTCACCGCCAGTAAATGCCACGTGATCGATGACGTGCTGTCACTCGATTCGTGTCTCTCTAATTCAATTACCTCCTCTTCGAGTGGAATTTGAGGTGGAATTTTCGGTTCCTCCATTGTTTCTTCTTGGTATAATCCAAATTCGTGACTTATACGCAAGTCGTCTCGGATTTGGGCCATTGTTCTCTTGAAATCGTCGGTGAATTCACTCATGGTTAGAATATCGGCTTCGTGTTTGGTTAAATCGCGTCGTTTAAGGTGGCTGTCTTTGTGGAAGTCGTCAAAAACGTCCGAAATTTCGCTGAAATCACTTTCAGATGAGGGTTCGAGGTTTTCGATCGGTTCTAGAAGCTTTTCCACGGGGTTTTCGTCTTTTTTTCGACGGATTGTGAGCGATTTTAAGCGCAAATTCGCCAGTTTGGGCAAAGACGTCATTATTGATCAAACTACTGAGTAATTCCATGACAAAACGAACACTTTTAAATCTCAGTGTTTCCTATTTTTGTAAATTTGAGATATGTTATAGAACACATTTACTTTTATAGTTTTTTTTATTTTTTTATATTTGAAAAAACAGGGATGTACAAAATTAAGTACGTCAAAGCAAAAAAACATTTCTTAAGAACAAATCATTTTGAAATATTTTTTTTAAGAATAGATAAAAATAAGTACTCTAAGGACGTGGAATACATGTATTCCAAAACCTTGTTATTAACAAATAATTTGAAAATAATCATTGAAACAAAAAAATTAACAATTACGCAGGTTTTTCAAAATTCTCAAAAAATTCATGTAAAAGCCCTCAGATTTTTACCATGTCCTCATACAAGTTTCAAGACGGACGTTTTAAAAATAGCTGAAAAAAAATATTTTCAGAGCACTGCAAAGTGCATAATAATCCTGGGATCGCCTGAAAGTAGCGTTTCCATAGAAAGTAAATATAAAATTACCCATTACCGTAATTAATAAATTTTTTGTGAATTTGGGAGCGTTTTTACCAAAGAATTCCCGATACATTTGATAAATTTTAGATTTTGCAAAATAAGGCATAAAATTGTAAAATACTTTAATTTTTATGATGTTAGGAGTATTATTTTTTCATGAAATTTATCACAACACAAGAAGAAAAATTACAAAATTACTTCTGATATGTAATATTTTTGCTTAAATAATTTAAAGTGTTTATCCAGAAAACTAAATTCGTCAAATTTTGCTAATACAATACAAAAAATTGCAAAATTGGCTTCAAAATGCGATATTTTCTATAAATTTAGATTTTTCGCCAAGAAACTAACAAAATTTTAGAGATTCCATTATTCATTCTCATTTATTTTAATAAGTTTAAAAACTTTTTTTACCTCATCAAAACTAAATAAATGTAAAATTTTCCCAAAACAATACAAAAAATTGCAATATTAGGTCTGAAATGTCTTATTTTTTGTGAAAGTGGGAGCGTTTTTACCAAAGAATTCCCAAAATTCGTGAAATTTTGTTTGAAAAAAGCAGGTTTGAAATGTTTTATTCTCATTTATTTCATTAAATTTAGAGCATTTTTTACCGCAAAACTAAATTAAACTAAATAAATTAAAAAAAAAATTTCAAGACTAGAAGAAATTGCAAAAATAGGTCTGAAATACGATATTTTTGTGTATTTAGGAGTACTATTACCAAAAAAAATTACAACATTTGTGAGATTTTTGCAAAACTAAGTCAAGAAAAAGTAGAAAATCTGAATAAAAAAACTGTTAAATAAAGAAAGATAAAACAACAAAATTTGATAGAATCGTAATAATTTAAACTCAGACAAAAATAGAAAACTATAGTTTTTGTAAATTTGAACTCTAAAAATTGAAAAAACCAATCGGAAATTGAAAACAGGAAACTACAATTAATTTTTATATTCAAAACTATAAAATCAAACAAAAATTCGAAAAAACTATAAATTTAATTCAAACTTGTTCTAACTTCTTTAATTTTTTTTAATATTCAAAAAATAATAATTAATAAAAATTAAAGTGCTATAAAAAATGTGATCGTATTTTGAGATAAAATTTTCTTTTGTTCTTGGGTTATGCGATTTTCTTTCTTCAAAATAGCAACTTATATGAATTTTTTCTATAAAACTGAATAAAGTGTCGATAGTCACATTTTTTCAGTACTATCATTCATCAAGTAGTTTTTTCAAATAAGAAATAATTTAAGCAAAAAACGTTTGGTTCTATTGAACTTTTTGTTGAAAATTTGAAAAACATTGCGATTCTTTAAAATATTGTTTTACGAGCATTTAATTTCTGTTGGAAAAATAATTTTCAAAGTTTTGCTATAGGTTATTAGAAGAGGAAACAAGAAAGTTGTATCCTAAATTGTAACTCTGTTTAATGTTATTTGTGGCTTTTATTGGCAAAATTTTTGTTCCTTTTCTAAATAATTATAAAAAACATACACAAGAACATCAGAATCATTAAATAAACAGAAAAGAATTATTTAAACATTTTTATCTTATCTTACTTTTTCTCTGGAGCGCGAGTTCTGAGGTACTTAATTTTTTTACGAAAATTGGTAACAATGGAAATAACTCTATTGTTTTTTTGTTGTTTTTCAGACCGGCACGAGATCGAGCCACTGTCCCGTGGTGCGTTCAGGTCCGGCTTTGGGGTGCAACTACTGCTGGAACACCGTGGACACCCACGGCCGGATATTGCGCCGCAAGACGAAATACCACTGTCCCGAGTGTCAAACGAACTTGTGTATAGTTCCCTGCTTCCAGGAGTACCACGAGAGACACGTTAGTGCCGGCCAAACGGACCCCATAGCACTGACAACGTCCGTAATGCGAGTTTTTCCAAAAACGACTTCGATGTGAATTGTCGTTTCGCAATAAATATTGTGGAATTTTCTGTGGCCTAAGGCAACGACGGCAGAAATTTTGTGCTTAGGGAAATCAATAAGCATAAAAAAAGACAAATGTATCATCAGGGTCTTTCTTGTTTCTCCGATTGTTTGAATTTTATATTTAGCTCAAATGCTATTCATTGTTATTGTTAATGTTTCAAGTCAATAAGTGGGAACATGAAGTTTGTTGAAATTTATACAATCGTGTGGAAATATCAAATTGTTGTGAGCTGTGGTCCGAATTTGTGATACTTGAGGAGTTTTTTGTTTGAGTACCTCAAACACTAGTCCGATGTTGAAAGGTGGGCTCACTTCTACTAAACAAAGCTTTAAATGGTGTTAGAATCGAAGAATATAATACACTATTTTTATGATGCACATACAAAATATATTTTTGAATGGACTAAACAGTTATTTTCTTAAATGTTAAGTATATTTTTAACTTGTACAGTTGTGGAATTTCATTTTGTATGTTTATATTTTGGAGTAATTTTCCTAAACAAACATAACACGAAAATCCACGACACGGTAATTGTTTTTTTCACTGTGGAGTGAGTTTTTGTGTTGTTCGAAACTTCTGTAAATAAATGGATGTAACGAAGTTACCATTGATGTTAGAAAAGTGTGATAGATGGTACCTGTACTTGTGAAATATTGTTAGTATTACCAATAATGACTAATGTAGTTTTAAGGTTTCTTTAAGTGGGTTGACGCGACTCTTCAGACACAAATTGCCAACATAACTGTATTCAAATAATCGTTATAATAAAGCAAAAAAGCTTATTTTTAACATTGGCCAATTCGGACATTTTTGGTGACAAAAAAATTTATTGGCAACACTGAATTATTGGTAATCCTAATTTGTTATATCAGAATGTTTCAGGTGATGACTAAAAAAGTTTGACATTTGAATTTGAAAGTCAAAATTGCCATACTTGAGGTAAAAAAAATCACAATCACCCAGTATTGAATTTCCAATCGAAGTAATTAAGTTGGCAATATTACCTTTCAAACTGAAACGTCACATTTTAATAGTCAACTGTCATTCACTTCAGACGGGTGACCCCTGGCAAGGCCGTCACCCGACAATCCAATATCACCTATAATTCAATGTCGCCAACTTAATTTCAGTCACAGATCACTTTGACGCTGAAGGGGTTTTAATTAAAAAAAATTGAGTTAACTTTTGTACTACTGTCATTGCGTGGAAATTGGCTTCTTTAATGACAGTATTCATGACAAATCGGAGTCAATTTTTCATAATTGGATGAGAAAAACCGACTGTTGTTTTGCTACAGTACAAATTGTTAGGAAACAAATAAAGTATTTGCATAAAACTGATTACTTTATTTACAAATTGTTACCTAATCACTTTTTCTCGTCGACTGGCACCTCCTCGGCAGCAGGGGGCGCATTCCTGAAGTTGGGGAACTGCTCCCAGGGGGCCGATAGTTCAAATTTCCGGAACTCTTGAGCCAACTCAAGTGGTTCAACCACCACCCGTTTTTTCTCATCATCATACCTCACCTACGAAAACAATAAGAAAAAAATCATTTTCCCCCAAATAGTACCTCGACGTAGCCGCTCAAGGGGAAGTCCTTCCTGAAGGGGTGTCCCTCGAACCCGTAATCGGTGAGAATCCGCCTCAAATCGGGGTGATTGGCGAAAAACACCCCATACATGTCCCAGATCTCGCGCTCGTACCAATTGGCCCCCTTGTAGATGTCGCAGGCGGAGTCAAGGGGGGTCAACTCGTCGGTGTACGTCTTGACTCTAATCCGCGAGTTGAAACGCAAAGACAGGAGGTTGTAGATGACCTCGAAGCGGTACTCGCGACTGGGGACATCCATCCCTGCGATGTCTGTTATGTTGGCGAACTGGGCATTGTGGTGGTCTTTGAGGAACTGCAACACGGGGAGCACCCCTTCGGGGACTATCAACAGCTCGAGCTCGTCCCCGGCCGTGATTTGGACCTTCTGGATGTATTTTGGGAGACAATCAGCGCAGTATTTTCCAAAGTCTTTCAACTGACTTCGGGCCAAAAGGTCCGGCTTTCTGACAGTGGCTACAAAAAACTAGTTTTATTGAGTTTAAGTCAAGGCTAGGAACCTACGTCGGGTCTCCTCAGCGGGGGCTGCTTCCGAATGTTTGAATCTGATGGCAGTTGCACAAACTGAAAAAAAACAAGTCAGTTAACGATAACATAAAAGTCAGTTTTTTACCCCCATTGCGGGCCACGGGTGACCGCAAAGTCCTTGTAAATTGTCTCAAAAGGGAAGCCATCGTTTCTATTTATTTGTTACCTAATAACTTCCCTAACCTCAAACTGTCAAAATTCACGGCCACCTAAAATCGATTTTTTTACTCGGCGGAAGGAGAAAAATTTAAAAAAAAATGTTTTTTTTTTTTTCAAAAATTGGACCAAAACATGAAATAAGAACACAAACAATATCACAAATGTTTCATATGTGTCTGTGATATAATAATATTATTAAAATTGCTTTCAATGGAATTAATAAAATCGGTCAAAAAAACATGTGGTTACCTGTCATTTCGAGTAATGCCGATTTTTAACTTTAATAAATAAAAACAGCTTTTAATTCTATAATTGACACCAATTACGGATTGTGTGCAAGATTCTTGATTAATTTTAGCCCCTTGTTGGTTTCTTTCGAAAATTAACAAATTCGGTCATGCCGTCATTCGTACGCAATGCCAATCTTTGTAATAAAATCAATAATTTTAATTAAAACAGCCTTTATTTACACAATTGCCACCAATTAGAGACTGTAGCCAAGATTCTTGACCCACTTGAGCCCCTTCTTGGTGTCCTCAAGTGGTTTGTACTCCAACCCGACCCAGTCATTGTACCCCAAAGACTCCAAAGTTTCTAGTACATAAACGTAGTTTAGTTCCCCCGGAGTGTCCGGTTCGTTCCTATTGGGCACTTGTGCAATTTGTACATGCCCGATATAGCCCCCCAATTCCTTAATATTGTTAGTAACATTCCCCCTGATATGTTGCAAATGGAAAACATCCAACATGATCCTCAAGTTGGGACTATTGATGTTCTTCACCACATTTAGAGCTAAAAAACACGTTTTAAATCCCCCTTTGCTTTATTGAAGCCCCCTCAAACCTCTATCGTAACAATTGAGATAGTAATTGGGGACCGAATATTTATTTATTGGCTCAATCAACCCAATTATATTCTCCTTCTCCAACAACTTTGTCGCATATTTTAAATTCGTTTCGTAAACGGAATGATGAGCGTCAGTCACTTCGGGGACTTTCCCGGCCATAATGTGGATTTTTGAGGCCCCGAGACTTTTAGCAAAACTGATGGTTTTGGCAATACTGTCTTTAAACTCCTGTTCTTTCCCGGGGATTGCTGCAAAACCGAGTTCGCCCTTCGTTACGTCACCGGTGTAGGTGTTAATGAGGACTTGGTGGATGTCAGCCGAGGTTTTTGCATCAACGACCTGTTTTTCGGTGAAATTGAAGGGGAAGCCGGTCTCAACGGCCCCAAAACCGGCCTCTTTGGCCAATCTGTAGCGCTCCAAGAAGGGCCGCTCGGTGAACATGAAGGACAAATTCGCACAGAACTTCATCATGACCTAAGAAATGAAAACTTATCAAAAGTGATAAAGCTGCGCTTACATGAAAAGATAACGCAAAACGCAACAACAAACATAATCAGCAAACTTTTAACATCAATTAGAGGACAAATAATCTCCATATGGCCAAATAATGGGTTCAGGGAAACATTTTATCTCAGGAATAAAAACCAATGTTTTTTACAATTCAGTCAGTAGAAAAAATCCAGTGTGTGACAATGGAAACCAAGACCTTCTTCTGGTACTTCAGACCCATCGCTCTAATCTGTAAAGTGTTGGGGATATTCCCCTTGCAAAACCTCAGGACGAGCAACCCTGCGGAGCTCCGGGCCCCCATCCGAAGTTTCGCCCACTTGTACAGTTTCGCTATTTTCGGGTTCAACATTTACATGATTTGGTTCTTTAGTGGTTTCATGTTTGCAATTCAAAATTCCTTCTATTTGTTCATTGTTGTCTACGTCATGATTTTCCGGTCAATTTTCTGCTTCGTTTTTTGTGCCAGCCATTCGAAGAAGTTGCCCAAATTGATCCTCCTCTTGGACCTTTTCGACCGGAAGAAGCGCCCCATTTTAGTTGATCAATCGTCGTACTGTTTCCGCTCCTTGTTCACTTGGACGCTTCTCCCGGTCGTTGTGGGGGCTGTCGCAATTGCCCTGTCTTTCTACGAGTCCGCGAACGTGGTCTTGGAGACTATGCCCCCGGAGTTGAGCGTTTTGCACACGAACTTGTCGGCGGTTTTCTTCGGGAGTTTGGGGACCTGGCAGGTGGCGCCCCTCCTCCTCTACATCTACTTCGCCTCGAGAATCGCGTGCAATTACCGGATTTTGAACAAAACCATCAAAAGACAATTCCATGGAAGTTTCTTGTCTGAAGTAAAATACTCGGATGAGTCTCGTGCAACTTTGGAATATCTCCGCCAAATGCACAATTTGCTCACCAAAGCCGTGGAGGAGATGGGGAAATGCTACGGGAATTTCATGGCAATTGACCAATTCTGTCTCATTGTGATGGTCATTGCGAATATTTGTACTTTTATCAACGATAGGACACACGAAATCCACTTGTTGGCCATCACAGTTTTCAATTTTTTGGTCGTGGTTTGGGTTCTTGTGATTTCAAACGAAATTAAGGAAGCGGTAAGTGTGACAACTCGATTTTTTGACACTACTTGGTTTTCAGGGAAACAAAGTAATCTACGTCTTGCGTGCCATTGTTTTATCACGCGTTGATGACCCCACCCGAATCGAGGTGAGTCAATCGCTACATACAACATTTTTTCTACAATTTTTCCAGATTCAAACATTTATGATGCAAATTGCGGCCCAACCAGTCGAGGTTTCAGCAGCCGGTTATTTCATCATCGATAAACGTCAAATCCCATCGGTGAGTAACAAATTTCATAAAAATAGAATCTTTTTATTAACTTTATACAAACGCCGAATTGTACATAAATTAAATGCTATCTACAATGAAATAAAAAATTTACAAAAAGGAGTTCGTTGAAGCACTCGGTGTTAGCTTGGTCGAGTTAAACATGAAAACAACTAGTCGCTAATTTGTTACTATTGGCAGTAAAAGAGCTACTTCTAATTCTAACATATCAAAGAAATTTAAAAGTTGACAACGTCACATTTTTATAGTCAAATGTCATTAATTCAGTGTTGCCAACTTAATTCAAAGTGATGTTTGTACTATTAATGCTAATTCTACACTGTGGACAATCTCCGACACTGCATRAAATTTATCAAGCGTTTGCACAATTTCCGTTTTTTCGGTTTGGGTCGATACAAACGCAGCCAATAACAAAAAACAAGAACAGATAGTAACACTAGTATGGTTAGTGTGACATTAAAATTCTCTGTTTTATAATGAACTGAATTGATTTGTTTATTTCGCCAACTCCATAAATCGGCTTCTTCATTGTTTTCATGTCCCGATGCATCTGAAATGATCAATCTAACATTAATGAGAGATTTGTTCTTCTTAAATTATCAATAATCGAAATTATTCTTACCTTTAATAATATTCTCGATATTTAAAGTGGGTAAAGCAACGTCTTCCATTAAGGAGAGTAGTTTTTGCGACTGATATAGATTGGAAGGTGCTGAAACATTCAATGGAATTGGGTGTGAAAAGACCAAGTGTGGGCATTGCGGTAAAGGCCTAGTGTGTGATTCCCCTAAATTCCCCTCTAAAACTTTCGAATATCTATACAGTCGATTTCCTTCCATTCGGACCGGAACTTCCGTATCCACAACATCCTCCCAATCCGTCAATTGGTTGTCTTTGAAAATCGACGGTAAATGCGATGTCGAAGTATATTCCAACATGGCGTCCAACATCCAATAACACGCCGCCTCCAAATGACTAGCATCTATACAATTCGAGTCACCGTAAATTATAATCCTTCCACTTTTCTCCCCCGACTTGGTTTGCAACATTCCCAAAACAGGAATTTTGTATTTCTTATTCGCTACGTTCGTCTCGCCCAACATCTGTGATCCTTGATCGTGCAAATTCGCCGATACTACAATCCCCTCATTGGGGAACTTCCTAATACTGGTACCAGAGGCGTAATACATATCATGATCGTTCAATTTAAAATTCCCCTCAAAGACTCTATCCCCAAACTCGATCCCCCACGACGCGAACAAATCGTTCAATGCCGGAATGTTGGCACCACCGGTGTCTGGCATCCACCATTGGCGCGTATTCTCATCGTAAAACTTCACTTTTTTCATCATTGTCACATTATACCAATCGGCGAAAACAATCACGGAAAGACCCGAATCCACATCGCGTTTCAATTTTGCTATCTCCTCGGGGAAGTACTCCTCTTCGGGATCAACAATCAGCAAGGTACCATAATGGGAGGCGTCGAAACAGGTGAATGGTGATCCTAGTACCTCAATATAGTACCCTGAGTTTCTTAAATTCTGGTACATGTCCTTGAAATTGGTATGGATGTGGTCACCGTTCCAATCCAAAGGGTCATTCTTCACTTTTAAGTTGTCTCGAGGGAAGTACCCAGGTGGGTACCGCAAATTGTGGTATTGGTCCCATAGGATCCTCTTGTGTCTCGGAGGTGTCGGTATTATTTTAGCCCTAATTGGAAGAGTAACAGTGCTTTGTCTGGGTTCCTTCTCACCTGGCCCTGGGGGCGACTCCACAGTGACTGTAATGTGACCATGAGCCAACCCCTCGTAATTTGCCCCATCTGCTGAAACGGACAGACTAACAGCCATCCACCCCGACCATGGCCATAACAACTCCGAATGTGAAATGGCAATATCGAGCATTTGCCCATGTTGGGGCGTATATGGGTGCCATTGTGGTTTACTCACAATCACCCCCGATACCCCAAGACCATTCAAAATTGTTACGTTAACAATGACGGGGAGAGAACCGTAATAGAGGGGTTGGGTGCAATATGGCCACATGTAGGGACACTCACTAAGGTCAATGTAACTGGGACTGAGACTAGCCTATAACACACCCGTGTAACATACCCATTTTTTTTCAAGTGTGTAATACACACCTGAGGTTTGTAACTACTCAAAATTTGATAGGCTTTCATGAGATTGAGTTTGCCGTGTCCTTGTTCGAACATATTGACCCCGGGGAGCCTCCTTGCCGAGGCCATTAGGGCTTGCTTAATACTAGCGGGGTTAATATCATCACCGCGATGCAAAACACCACTTGCTAGCAATGTTACAGCCCCGGCCACAACAGGAGACGCCACACTAGTCCCCGACAAAACCCTACAGCCCCCTTTTATGTTCGACCCTCGGACGGCCGACCCATAAGTCACTATATCTGGTTTCACTCTCCCATACCCTAAAACGAGTAACTTGCTCAGTTTTTTCCCCCTTTAAAGTTGGGATTTCCTCCACCTTGAGGCAACTCCCATGTGGTCATCCCCCGTGATGAGAATTTAGCAATCTGGTCCTCGAAATTAATCCCTCCGACTCCTATAACATCCATTTGATCGGCAGGATTATTCAAGGTACCATACAAAGGACCATCGTTTCCTATAGCCGAGACCATAACCACCCGATTCGCAGTCAACTCCCATACTTTATCGACGAAAGGATGGTCCTTGAAATCGGGCCCCCCAATACTCAAATTCAAAACGTTGATTTTCTTCAAGATGGCGTAGTTGAAAGCATCGAGGAACCACGAAGTGTACGAAACTTGGTTATTGGTGAAGACCCGGAAAATGTGGAGTTCGGAGTCGGGGGCAAAGCCCAAACACTCCTTACTCGAGGCTATCACCCCTGCGACAAACGTCCCATGGCCGAGACCATCATCAAACGTCTTCTCATTGGTCCAATTCGTCCGTTCTTTGATTTTGCGGAAATGTGGGTGCGTTTTGGAGAGTCCCGTGTCGAAAATCGCCACTTTGATCCCTTTCCCCGTCACCCCCATGTTCCATAAAGAGTCGGCTTGGAGGACTGAGGTTATCTGGCGAGGTATAGCCCTCAAGAGACGGCGACTTGTGTGTCGACCGGTCGCTTGCCAGAACTGGTTTTTCGAGAGACTGCTCCTCCCGCGTCTTATGTAATTCTCATTGACGAATTTGAGGGTGCGGAGGACCATTCGTTGGGCCGTGACGGTCTTCACCGAAGGGTGGTTACTCAAAGCGTTCAACCCTGCGTTCTTATCAGTGTCTTCAAGTACCACAACATCGAAATCACTCGGATAGTCACTGGCGGGGTTCTCGCGGGATAAAATCTTCCATTTTTTGACCCCGGAGGTGTTAAGGGCCGTGTTAATGTACCCGGCCCGTGCCTGGTTCTTGTAGTAGCCATTGAACATAACAATGTATTCATTTTCGACTACTTTCGAACTGTAATCGATTTCTACATGATCGGTAGTCAGGTTGCAACACAAGGGCGATTCCAGGTTGTCCTCGGGGGGGATTTCATTGTTGATCAGTTCGACACTCCCAAGGGAAAGTAGAGTGAGGAAAAGGCGAAGCATTTTCGTTAAGGCTATACCACTTTCGCTTCTTTCGAATCATTTTCGGGCCTCATTACAGCACATGGTCAGGAAGGGCTACAACAAAGTTAGCATTTTATCACTTTTAACACACAAAAGAGAATCAAGGAATTGTGACAACGACAAGTGACAGAAAGGTTCGCGGTTTTTGGACTTCGTAGCGTCGCGCATACCGGATAAAGGCCGGTTTACGTGATGCGTTACGGTAAAAATTTCTTGAAACTTGAAATATTTGGCTACTTATATTTTTTTTTATCTATTGTAAATAATAATATTAAAACAAAATGTTGATTTGTAAAATAAATGTTTGGCGACTTTATATTATTGTCAAATTGACAACAGTAACTGCCAACTGGTGAAAAACAAAATGTCAAATGAAATATACATTATTTCAAATGAAAAGAACAGCGCAAGATGTACAGTGTTTAATATTTATGTTATTTATACGGCGTATTTTTTTTATTCGAAAGATACAAAATTAAAATTTCGGGCAGTATTTTTCTGTCACTTTAAAAAGTTCTTGTTAATTAAATGTCTTAGGAAATTTATTAATTGGACTAAGTGAATTTAAATCATCGCTTTGATCTGCTGCCTACCTATGCCTATGCCACAAATTACTATTTTTGAAAGTAAATAAGTCAAAATGACATAAACATGACAAGAGTAAAAAAATGAGGTTATTAATGTAAGGGTTGTTTTAGAGTGTACATTATGAAAATGACAACACTGCCCGAATTTTTAATTCCGCAACTATACATTATTTATAAACAATTTTTGTATCGGCCTTGTTTTAAAGTAAAAAAAAGAAAGTAGATGCCATTTAATATTATTGTTTCTGAAATAGCGTTAAAAAATTTTTAGATTTTACTTTCTTTATGTAAGATGTTTATGTTAGTTAACAATAGTGTAATTACCTAATTATTAATTATTAAACAAAAAAATAAAGACTGAAACAATCGTTTTATATACATTTTTTACAACAAATTTTCGAATTGTCTTCCGTTTTCTTAAATATACACAGCCAAATACAAACAAAAAATTCAATTTGATAGCAAAATAGCATAAAAAAACTCGTGCCTTGTAACACTCGCCATTGCGTGGCTCGCGTTACAAACCACTTGTATCACAAAGAGAATGTTTGTAACATTTGTTTTTTTAACATACTATTATAACAGTTCTTTTATAACAACACAATAACAATATAAAAATGACATTTAAAATGAAAGAAACTGTCATTGTTATTGACAATTGTAAATGTGAATAGAAAAACTAGAATAAATTATGTTTTTTATAATAAAAATTCTATCAATAAATCTCTGAAACCACGCCACAAGTAATAAACCTTCAAACACGAATAATGAGTTTATCTATTGACTTAAAAACAATTTAGTAGACAAAATTTGGACCACTTGTATAAGAAATAAAGAAAAAAATTTGCTAATTTTCTTGAAAACATCTACGTTTCTATGGCAATGATCATTTCTTGCTATTTTTTTTCATAGATACAGACTGGAAGATGTAAAGAAATCCACATTACCGACACTACCAAAAGTATTATTTTAACTAATAATGAATATAAACAGTCGAATTATATTTATAATAATTGATAAATTGACCCTTTTTGACGTCCTCTGAGTCAATTGACGCAATTCTTACGTAAAACGAGTTGTTTTTGCTCAAATTTTTATTATAAAAATATGTACAAATAAATTATTATAAATAATAGAGTGTATTATAAGACTAGTCCCTGGATGCCAATTTGCGCTTCAAAATAGTAGTTTTTTTCCAGGTGTTGTCCTCAATCGCCACATACCTCGTCGTCTCGCTCCAATTCATCCAAGAGGGAGAAAGTGAGTTGGCAATAAAAAAAATATTTTTGCAAACCATCGTTTTCAGGACAAGGAAGCACCACAAACTGCACCTTTGTTTGACTCTATTCTGCATTATCCTCTGTTACTAGATTGAAATTATCATCCAAAAGTACCCAATATGTGGTAACCGGCTTTTTTCGTCCTTTCACCTCAACTTTCCCTCGACATTCGCACTTATATTTGAAGCTTTTGATGATTTCGGCCGTCGGCTTAAGCACTTGGATGCAGTTTTCAAGCCCGGTGGTGTCCATTCGAGAGGCCATGTTCACCGGATCACCCCATATGTCGTAGAAGGGTTTTTTCGAACCCACTACACCGGCGGCGATGTAACCATGAGATATTCCTATCAAATAAATAAGCTAATATATTTTTTTTTATTTTCTTTTACCTATTCGGAGTTTCATTTCTTGTGACATTTCATGGTTGAGTTTTTTCAAAGTTTGCATCAAATGAGTGGCGAATTTCAACAAGGAGATCACAGTGTGGTCTCGGTGGTCCTTTTCGATGTTGACGGTGTCGCCCAAGCCCGGGGCGAGACCGCAAGCCGCCATATAGGTCCATTTAGCAACTTTGATCTTCTCGATAGGGCGGCCGTAATTGTTTTGTCTCAATAACTAAAAAATTGCAGTTGTAAACAGGAGAGTTTGAATGGACGATACGAGCCGCGTAGCGGCGAGTTGAAAAACAACACTTGAATTGTTAGTCTTTGAATTTTTCTTAGAAAAATCAACAAAATTCGGGTGATGATAATAATAATAATCTCTTTTACTGTTATACTCTTTCTTATTTGCTCTTGTGTGTGCACTTCTTTTAAATATATAACTTATGTGCCCGCCATCTTTTGACAGTTATTTGAATTGTATTAACACAGGATAGATACACAAAATTTTTCAAAAATTTATTTTTTGCATTTACAACGTTTTTGTACTTTTCTAAGTCTCTTGAACCCTCAAATGGTTCAATTTTGAGGTTTTTAATTTTCACATATATTTTTTATTTTATTTCACTCGTCTTTACAACGTTTTAACACTTTTCTGGGTTATTTGCACTCCTATTAGTGCATTTGGAACAATTTTAAAATTTTTTTTTTTTTCAATTCTTGGCAAAATTTTGATCGATTTAATTTTCTAATGTGAAAAGTTCAGTTTGTTCATGTTTGTAGAAAAATATGATTCTTGAAACAGAAAAGAACGTTTTATCTCTTTCTTGTTTCAAAACTAGTTGTTTTATAAATAATGTTTATATTTATATTAAATAAATTTTTAAATTTAACTTTTGTTCCCACTTCTTAAGTTTGTTTGGTGTAACTCTGTCTTCAGTGTAAAAGCTAATCCAGCAACAAAATTCACACTTCCTGGTTTATTACTATTTCTGTTCTATACAGGGTGTTAAAAAAATTGTAAAATATGTAAGGGGGTAACAGTATAGACTAAAATAAACAAAAAAGTTTTAATAAACATGGGTCCGCAAGTAACTGTTTCGGAGATATGAAAGATTATTTGTTTTTTGAAATATTTATTTGCAATGTGTTCAAACAAAATAGAGAAGAAGCTTCTAACAAAAATATTCACATTTGATATGTTTATTAAGACTTTTTTGTTTATTTTTGTTCATACTATTACCTCCTTAAATATTTTACACCCTGTATATTAAAAAAATCATAGTTTTTACATTTTCAAAAACTTTTTTGTAAAATTACATTTTTTGAGATAATATTTTTAAGCAATAAACTTTGTGGTCTATAGAAAAAACAAAACAGTAGATAAATGTCATTTTACATTTTTTTATAATGAAAAAATCATTTATAATGCACAAACTACAAGTTTCACTGTAATTTAATTCAGTTTCTTACATTAAAAAATTGTAGCATTTTACATTTAAAAAAATATGTAAAAATACATTAACGATGAGAGGCATTTTACTTTATATTTTTAAGCACTTAACTTTGTGGTCTATAATAACACAAGACCAGATAAATGTCATTTTACACTTTTTAGGGAACATTACATTAAATAATGTTAAAATTAATTGTAAAATTGCACGGAAATGTGTTAAAAAATGTGAAACTGTAAGTTTCACTGTAATGTAATTCTATTTCTGATATTAAAACGTCGTAGTCTTTTACATTTTAAAAAAATTTAATGTAAAATTACATTAACATTAAGAGGCATTTTACGAGTACTTTAGATTTTTGAGATAATTTTTTTTAACAATAAACTTTGTGGTCCATGGAAAATTATAAAAGAGTAAATTAATCTCATTTGATATTTTCTTGATACAAGGAAAAGTAAATGTAATATAGTACTTATTATTACAAAATTGTAGATTTAAATTTTTTTTAGTTGATTATTTAAAATTACACCAACAGTTAAGAAAAAAGTTTAATTTTTTGTTTGTGGAATTAATCATTTTCAGTGATAAATTTTATGAACCCAACAATGTAATAATTATTAGCAAAATTACATTAACTATTTGTTTGATTGTAATGTAATTTCAAAATTATTGTCTACTACAAAATTGTAGTTTTCCAGTTTTTATGTTTGAGAGAAACGAATATGTAAAAATTAAAAAATGAAATAAAATATCGTAAGGTTTTATATTTTTTAAAATTATTGTGTAAAATTACATCAACAGTAGAAACAAGCTTTTTTTTTAAATATCCATTAGACTGAAATAGACTTTATGGTTCTTAGAAAATTTTAAAAAAAATCGGTTGTCATTTTATTCATTTTCTGGAAAAATTACACATTTATGCCTAATCGGGAAATGGTCTTTTCATGTCACCATTGTCACCAACATTAAAACATAAAATGCACTAGACTGTTAACGCACTTAAACGAGTTCTTAGCTTAGAGTAAAAAAAATAAAAATGAGGGTAGTACCTACCAAGTCGAATTCGCTGATAACTGAGCTCATTTTCTCCAAAAACCCCTGCCCCATCTCCTCGACCGAAAAATTCGTTATTGAGGCAAACATAACAGCGGCCTCGTTGTAGTACTCGTGGTAGACCTCCTCGGAGGAGTGTCTATTGACATTCAGGTAAAGTTCGGCTAAAACAGCGATTATAAAATGGGGGGGAAACCCACAATTGACAGTCATACCAACATGTTTCGGTAAAATATTCTCCAGAAGAATATTATTAACGTGATGGACATAACTGGCTTGTTTCTCTTTTTCGATCAAATTTTTGTACCACAAATGGTCAATTCTGTTCATGTATTCGGTTTGGCGGTCCACGAGATGGAAAATAACCGTCAGGAAGAGCACCCCCATCACATGCGAGACTTGGGGAGGGAGACTCACGTTGAAAGTTTGGCTGTCCTATTTTTTTATTTAATTTTTTTATTTGATTTGTTTAAATTGTTTACCCCATAGAAGGTACCACTGAAATTCAAAATACAGTAGGAGTACACTCCAGCGATCGCAGTGGCGTAGAACAGTTTCAGCCACATGTACATTCGCAGAAACAGGAAACTCATTATTATGGCCAGGGCGCAAGTTTCAGTCATGTGCTGAAACAAAATTTTGAAAAAAATCACACAAACACGGAAAATTATACCCAAGGGATGATACAATGAGTGTCAACATCGCTTTGCAACGTCGCATTTTCCTCCTGACCAATCAACTCAAGAAAATTCGACCTAACATTCGTGTGGTTCACATGCTGAGTCTCAGAGTAACACTCTAACTGAAAAAATCACATTTTCATTTCAAATTTACCCAAATTACCCTCATTACCCATTCAGTCAAGACGCACACACAAAACAAAAGATAAACAGTAGTGTATATCACAACCCGAATCAACGCATTATTAGTCACAAGTTTTGATGCTTCGAGAAAAAAACCCACGGTTTTTGACCTAGGTTTGTCATGGTCGATTTTCGCAAAAAATTTAGCCCACCAGTGATGGGCCCAAGACAGGGGCAAAAAGAAGAAAAGTAAAACCCCAAGAGTCACATAGAAGGGCCATTCGGGCCAATCCCACCTAAAAGTTCAAATTGCGACATCGAGACAGCTGTGACTGTGACAGCCAAATTGCTAGGCAACGCGTACTAGACTCAATCAAGATCAAATTCGTTGCTAAGTAACACGATAAATTTGATCAGTTGCTAGGCAATCAATCAAATTCGTTGCTAAGTAAGCTCAGTGACCTTGACTATCCACAGCAATTTGGGACACATTTTAATTACTTCGAGAGGGTCAAATTCTGCAAAATGAAGACTAAAAGGACAAGTAAGACCTCGCTTAGTAGATAATATTTGAATAAAGGGTCTGGCATTTTGATAAAATCCATTTCAATTTTTAAATCCTTGAATACTAGAAGTAATCGGAACATGTCGCTGGCTTTGAACCATTGCCTGCAAGAATTTTGCAATTTTTGGTTTATTAAAATTCTGCAAACTTACTCATATTTTGACAGTAACATGTTCTCGATTGTGTCCTCAAGCTCCTTATTGGTCTCCTCCAACCTCTCCTTGTACCTCTTGATGTTGTTGTTCATGAAGGCCGTCCTCCGTTTTCGCTCATTGGTGAGTCTGCGATCGGTGGAAAATCTCGTATTTCCACTAGGCCTCCTTTGATACTGCCCCCCCGGGTTGCCACTAATCCTGCGTTCGGTCGAGTTGGGAAAAGTGTGGCGTTTCCCATTGGAAAGCTCATTTTCCGGCTCAAAATTTTCCGAAGCTGAGCGATAATTGCTAATAAGGGAGTAACTACGCGAGTTTTGCATATTTTTAACATCATTGGGGACGATACTGGTCCTTTTAACGAATATGGACGGCCGTGGGACACTTCCGGTGTTGGCGATGGGCTCCTTGACCGGAAGCGCGACCGGAGCGCTCTGAGGGGCTATCAGGTAAGTCCGGGCACCGTTTACGATCTTCTTCGATGTTGTGATTTGGTAGGGTTTCCGTAAAAGAGTTTTAGTTTCTTTAGTCACGTGAACCATCCTTAAAAAATAGTTTTAGTATAGGCAACCAAACATACAAAACTAGAATAACAATACCCTGCGCTTCCTTCCGTTTCCATTTTGTTGGCGATGTCGACATCCTTGGACCAGATGTCGTATTGCCACTTGATGTTTCCAATGATTCCGCAACTGATGCTCCCACTGTGGACCCCAATTCGCATATTTATGTTCAGTTTTTTCCTCTCTCTTATATCGCCAATGATTGCGATCATTTTTAGTCCCAAATCGACGCAAGCTTCGGCGTGGTTTGGGGCCGGGTCGGGGGGTAGTCCAGCCACACAGTAGTAACAATCACCCAAAAATTTGATTCTTAGAACTTTGAGCTGTTCAGAGGCGTCATCAAAACGCCCAAATAGCTCGTTTAAAACGTCCAATAAGTCTGTGACGCTTAATTCCGTCGTCATTGCCGTGTAATTGACAATGTCGGCGAATAGAATGCTCACATTCGGGTGCTCCTCCACGTAAATGTCACTAAAATAGTGTATTAAGATACGAATGACAGCTATTCAAGTAAGGGTTTGAAATTTTGACAGGAGCCGCGTACCGGCGAGTGGGGAAACAAACCATTGCTTGAATAGCCTTTTTTTCTATTTTGCGCTTTTTATGTTGTTTTTATGAAAAAAAAAATAAAATTTAGGGAATTTTACCCCAGTTGGTGAAAAAAATTTCAAAATAGATAAATGTCACATTTATTACACATTTAATGTTTACATTTTTTTAGAGAAAATTACATCAAATAATGTAAAAAAAAATATGTATTTGTAAAATTGCACAGAAATAATAAATACACAAACTGTAAGTTTCACTGTAATGTAATTTTGTTTCTTTTATCAAAAAATAATAAACTTTGTGGTCTACAGAAAATAACAAAGAGTAGGTAAATGTCATTTTACATTTTTTTGGTAAAAATACATCAAGTAATGTAAAAATAATTTGTAAACTTGCACTGAAATATGTTAATTACACAAACTGTAAGTTTAATGTAATATAATTATTCTGTTTCTATTATTTAAATATCGTCGCTTTTTACATTTTTAAAACACTTTTTTGTAAAATTACATTTACCATGAGACGCATTTTATATTTTTTTGGAGGGAAAATTACATCAAATAATGTAAAAAATTATGTATTTGTAAAATTGCACAGAAATGTTAAATAAACAAACTGTAACTTTCAATGTAATTCTGTTTCTTTTATTAAAAAATTCTTCTTATTTTTTTTTAATTTTTTTGTAAAATTACAATTACAATTAAAAGCATTTTACTTTATATTTTTAGATAATATTTTTAAGTAATAAATTTTCTGGTCTGCAGAAAATAACAATCGAATGGATAAATGTCATTTTCAATTTTTTAGGAAAAATTACATCAAATACTGTAAAAATTAATTTGTAAAATTGTACTGAAATACGTTAAAACACAAACTGTAAATTTCACTGTAATGTAATTCTGTTTCCACTATCAAAAATCGTAGCATTTTACATTGTTTAAAACTTTTTTGTAAAATTACATTTACAGTAAAACGCATTTTACTTTATATTTTTTTGGATAATATTTTTGAACAATAAAAGAAAAAAAAGAGTAAATAAATGTCATTTTATATTTTCATTTTTAAATTTGATTGTGTAAAATTAAATCAACAGTAACCATACAATTTTTACGTTTGGGAGAATATTCCTGAAATCATACCTAAACTTTTTAGTCTAATAAAAATTCTAGAATAGTTAGTTTTTAACATTTTTAAAATTGATTGTGTAAAATTACACCAATAGTAAAAAGAAAAGTTTTACTTTCTGTTTGAGAAATTATTCATTTTAAATAATAAATTTTACCCACCCAACAACAATTATTACCAAAATTACATTAAAATAAGCTAAATGTCCAAGATTATAATGTAATTATCTGCTACAAAATTATAGCTTTCTATTTTTTATGTTTGAGAGAACTGAATATGTGAAAATAACACTGCAATTTCGTCTCTGTTGTTATAAAATCTGAAGGTTTTAAGTTTTTTAAAATTATTGTGTAAAATTATATCAACAGTAGAAAGAAGCTTTTTACTTTTTTTAAATATTCGTTAAACTAAAATAGATTCTTAGAAAATTTCAGAAAAGTGGGTTAATGTCATTATTTAACACTTTTTCTGAGAAAATAAATTCTAAAAGTTTCACATTCGAGCAATTGGTAACCAAATTACGGCATTGTCACCAACATTAAAACATAAAACACACTAAGTCTAGTTAACAGTCGTTAATGCACCCAAACGAGTTCGTTAATAGCCTTATCAGACGCAAAATAGAAAAAAATTTTAATATCGACATACTCAAATGGTTTCCATTTAACACAGTTGCCCCGCACTTCATTAATTTTAATAAAGTCGACTAGAGTTTTCTTCACTTTTGCTATAATATGTTGGGGGATAATACTAGACAAGAGATGGTTCTAAAACAAATTTTGAAAAAAAAATAATTCCTTTGGTCGTAGACCCACCTCTTGTTCCTCCTCAAATTTCAGCTGGTGAGTGGATTCGACGCAAGATCTGCGATCGAGGAAACTCCTCCTGAACACAATTTCGTTCATGTAACGAAAATAAATCCCGAGACTGTTAGTGCAAACCAAATAAATGCTATCAGAGCCGAGCTGTAAAAATTATTAAGTGATGTCTGGTTGATAAGATAAAAGTCACTCACTCTCTGGAGGAGTCTATCGTGGTCCTCGTACGTCACTAGAATCAGCGTGACTAGATGGAAAATTGATACAAAAATGCCCAAAGCAATCGCAACAATATTGTTATGGATGTTGAGGAAAATGTAGTTTGAAATGATCAAATAGGTGGTGTAGGCTGGCCGCAACTTGTGGTGCTTGTAGTAAAGAGGGATGAAAAAGTTCATGAAGAAGGTGGTGATGAAAGCGGCCCCGGCGAGAATTGTGAGGAGCTTTGGGTGCGCTTTGACGTATTTGTCGGTGATGATTAAGAGAAGAATTGAGAAGAGTGAGATTAAACCGTAGAGGATCAGATCAGGAATCACTTGATCGGGATTAGACTGAAAAAAAATATGTTTTTTTAATTATGTTTTTTATTGCGTTTTTGGATTATTCAAGTGATTTCGAGAGAGTTTTTTCAGACTTCACTATACCTAAATTTAATCGTTTTTGAACTATTTAGACTTTATTGAAATTTTTGGAATTTGCATCCTCTTTAAAAATCGATAACTCTACCATTTTTATGCGTATTTATAATTGGAAAAATAATTAACAAACCTCCAAAATTTAAGGTTACGTTTGAGAAACTTCAAATACTCGTAACTGATTTTTTTCAATTGAAAGGCCCCATTTTTTTTTCCACTAAATGAAAGAGAATTTAATTCTGTATCGATCTGTATCAATATTCCCTATAAGTAAATTTAATGTTTTTTTTTATTTTAACTTTTTTTTTAATAGAAGAAATTCATTACTATCCATCATAGTTTTCGCATAGTTTGCCATGGAAATATTTCTCACTAAAAAAATGCCAATTTTTTTTTACAATTGAAGGGGTGAGTGGATAAAGGTGTTATGTAACATTTTTTTGAAAACTGGTATTTTCTTTTAAAACAATTTTTTTCGCAATATTCTTTTATTGAAAAAGACTTTTAAGAGTTGGTTTCTATTAGGAATGAAATTACCAAATGCTAAAAACGTTATGTACAACTTGGATTGTTGAATAAACAGTGGATCAAGGTGTTAAAATATGTTTAAATAAATAAATAATATTTTAAAAAAGCACAAATAACAATAGTTTTACTTAATTCAATTACTTTCCGACGTATTGTTGACAAAATTTTACGAAATAACTGCGTTTTTCATTGAAAAATGTTTTAAAGCGCTCGAAAAGAGCATAAATTATGTCGTTTTTTATTTAGTCTGGTATATATATATTAATTTTTTGGTATGTTTTTAGCAAAAATTAAAGAAAAAACTCTCTTTTAGACTTAAAAACGCAACGAAATGTTTGAAAAAAGCAAAAATAACATCATTTTCGAATTAATTATGTGATTTTTCGGCTTATTTTTGACGAAGTTTTGTGCTTTTGATTGAAAAATCTGCTAAAACGTTTGGAAAAGCAACCAGATGATTTTTGTTTCGGCTCAAAAACATGCAAAAATAATTTTAATTTCGTGATAGTTTATTAATTTTTTACCTTATTTTCGACGAAAATTTTCAAAATAATTGCGATTCTGACTAAAAAACGTCCTAAAACGTAAAATGGTATTTTTGAATTTTTTTTTAGCACAATCTAAAAAAGTAAAAATACCATTTTTGAGTAAAAGCGATTTTGACGAAATAGTTTTGTAAATTTTTTATTGAAAAAGGTGTTAAAACGCCCAACAAATCATAAAAAAGATCATTTTCAACCCAATTTGGTAATTGCAATATATTTTAACAGAATCCTTACGAAAAAACGTAATGTAAATAAGCAAAATTCATTATTTTTCACTTAATTTGGTGACTTTTCGGCATTTTTCGGTACTGATAAGGTGGTTGGTAATAAATGTCACAAAGTTTGAAAAATTCGATTTTCGAAGTGTCAAGTCTCGAATATTTTTCGAAATTTTGTTGAAAACAATGCACACCACCTGAAATAAGCAAAATCGCTCAAAACGCCGCTGAAAATCACCATTACCAACCCTAGAAAGTAAATTGCACTAGACTATTTCAGCACCCAAATTGGTGTTGAAATGGCTAATTAAAGCATCGGTTTTGGTATCGAAATAAGCTTTCTTTCAGACACAAAATAAAAAAGAGTGTTTCTTGTGTTGTTTTTGGACTTACTGCGGCTAGTAGTGTTATGAAATGGCTGGTGATGAGGATGATTTGGAGGGATAAAAATTGGGAAAAGTAGCCGTGGCTGATGCGCTGGCCGTATCTGCGGAAGAGTTGGTGGAGCTCCAGGGATTCGAATTGGGCCTGAAATTATGAAACAATGCTTGAATTTTTCAGGAGTAAATAATTTTTAGGGAGTAGCAAGGATTTTACATACTTTTAAATATGAAAGTCGCCATCTTCGTTCATTGTTTGGGTGCTGGATTTGGGTGCTTATTGAAAGGCGGGCTATTGCTTCCGCTGCTGCTGAAAATTCCCCTTCTTCTGCTCCATACATGTTTCCAGTGGCGAATTCATTCACGAAAAAAGACTGTTAAATAACTATTAAAACGTGTTACGTTTCCTGAATTTAGAAAAAAATTAAGTAAATTAATTACAAGAAAATTATTTTTTTTTTGAGAATTTTTTTATTGGTTACTATTAACTCTCAAAATACTTTATTAGGAATACAAAAGCGGGCTTCCAAGTTAAATTTTTTAATGCAAAATTCCAAGTTATAACATTTTACCTTTTTTGTTTGGTTGAATTACAAAAATGATACTAACAAACCATTCGAAATTTAAAATTTAAAATTTAGTAACGAATTGTGCGAAGGTAAAATTTTTTAGAAATTTAAGATTCATAAAAAAACTGGGTTTAAAGATAGAAATTTCAAGGCCTAGAAGCAAAATTCCAAATTATCAAAACAAACTATATATCAAGATACACTAAAAGTTTTTCAGTAGAAGATTCAAGGTCTTAAAAAGAAAAATTTCCAGTTTTTTCGTTTTCTCTAGGCTTCGAAAATTTGAATATCTAAAATTCGAAATCTGAATATCTAAATTATCTAACAAAAATATTTTTTTGCGATCAGTTTGTAAAAATTGTAATTTTTCGAAAGTTAGTGTTTTTAATATTCAAAGAATAGATAAAAACGCTTATAAACTGAAAATTTGATTAAAAACAGCAGATTTTAATGTATCTAGGATTCAAGTTCCAAATTTTAACGCCAAAACCATGCCAATTTTTAGAAATGCAAATTTCAATAAAGGATTCTTAGCTTTAAAATTGGAATTCAAAAAATAATGTTATTAGAGATAGACACATTTTATGACAACTTTAAAATACAAAATTTTTCGTCTTTTTTTTCTAAAGAGAAGAGTAAAGAAATTTCTATTTTTCTCTGTTTCAAAAAATGTTAAAAAAAACTTAAGTAGAATTTGCGATTTTGCGTTCGAATTTTAGTTGAGTTCAATTCTTAATTGATTCAAACTTCATGTTTAGATATCTTTTTTGAAGCATGAAAACATTGTCTTAATTAGATTTAAAAAAAATTTAAATTTACAAAACGTAATTTCTCCTTTGAAACTACTGTGAATAGTATACGAGTAGCTTTTTATTTGTCTGAAAATTCGGAATTTTTTTGAAAGATGAAATTTCAAATCTGAAATTACCTATTTCCAAAAAAGTAACAAGAAGTGTTTTTTCTTCTAACTACTCAAAACTCCAACAAGTAAAAAGTTATAGTACAAAAGCATATTTCAAAAGAAATTTTTAAGTTAAACTTGGAATTTTTTTAAATCTTAAATAAAATAAAGTGAGTACAATTTTGTGTTATTCTACTTTGGAAAACATTTCTCATTAAAAATTTACTAATACTGCTGCATCTCTCTAAACTAAGAAGTAAAAATGGTGTTTTAATAAAATTAAAATAATATTAAAAAAAAATCTTGGTTCGCTTGATGTATTTTTTTGCAAGATTACAAAACGCAATTGATTAAAAATAAAACGAACGGAAATCAGACATGTTTTAAATAATTTTATTATAAAAAGATTAAATGTTTAAAAGGAACAACAAATTGTGAAATTCGAAAACATAAATTATCTTATCTTCGAAAACGGAATTAAGAAGCAACAATAAATATAATAAATGCCGTAAAAACATTATAGTTTTACTTTTGTGCGGTTTTAAAGTCATTATTTTTTTTATTAAAAACAAGATGAGAGATAAAACAGAGGCTTGTGATTTTGAGGGAAAAAAACTGATAGAAATCTACAAAGTTTAACTGTGATTAAGTATTATGATTTCTCGACGAAAATTTCTTTATCACCATTTAAATATTATGTAGATAAAAAAATCTTTCTTGGTAATGTATTTAGATTGGACGATTTTAAGCACTTCTTATTTACACAGGGTGCCCAAAAAGTAGAGCTAGAGAAATTCTTACATAAAAATAATTAAAATCATGAAAGTGGTAAAAAATTAGATGTGGCAACGTTGTCTAATTAATCAAGAGTAAAAATTAATTGTTCTTGCTAGGCAATCAATAAACATTGTTGCCATGACGACATGGAAAATTAAAACAGTGTTGCATGAAACGATTACTCAAAAACTTGAGAAAATAATGAAAATTGAAGTTTGTAGATCAGATTTTGTAAAAAAATTTTTTTTTAAATGTTTGAAATATTACTTACCTGATCTATGCAGTCCACTGTATTGCAAAACTTTTAAAATTATAAAAAACACCAAACATTTTTTAAAACTTTTAAATGACACACGTTATTACAACACTGTTTCGCCATTAGTACTTGTGCAAAATGGAATTATCTCCTTAGGTATGAGCCATAATTTGATAAGCAATCACAAAATCTTGAATCTGAGATAAGATACCTAGGTAATCCATCGGAAACGGAATTCCACCCATTTGTTAAAAAAATGAATCATCACCAAGTCATCAATCAAGAGAAAACAAACACGAAAAATCGAAGCAATTTTTTATTAAAAACGGTAGTAATCACTTTAAAACTCTTAAGATGCATTATTATAGTCGGTACACAGATACAATAAATAAACAAAAATATGATTCAACAAAAAACATTAACACATGTCCCAAAAAAAAAAAAAACTTCTGAGATTGCCAGGACAGGAATTAAGGTTTTGGTCTTACGAAGTAGCAAACAAATTTTGCAACGATTTAGTCACTTCTGGTCCTAAGGAAGACACTGTATTCCCAAATTCTTCACTAAAATCCCTATTTATAGTCTTGATAAGTTCCACTAGAATATTTTTGGTTTCTGAAACAAACAATAAACAACTCGTTTCGTAAAAAAATGCCACCCACCATCATTAGGATATTGTTTCTTTTCGTACACTTGCACTAGAATTTTGATAACACTCGCCAAATGCTCGCGAAGAATGGGATTCCCCTGTTGGTACAACGTGAAGAAACACTTGACCACCGCTTCGTTCTCTTGGTAGTCGTCGCGGAGGGGCAGCCGTTGGAGGAACGCCGGGAGCACCTGGTCCAGGGGAACCCCGCCCGGATTGACAATAATCATCTTGGCCAAAGCCCCACAAATGTTGTCTAGAGTCCCCGCGTGTGCCTCCTTAGCCACCGCCGTGGACAGCGCCTGGAGCACATCGGGGAAATACCCGAAAATCCGCTCCTTCCCGTGCAAAATCATCTCGCCAAGGCCGAAAATCGCGTTATTTCGCACCTCATCGGCGGCGTCTTTCGCCCCAGTGAGCCACAAATGCAACAAATGGGGGACGAACTTCTCGACGTACACATCGAGCGACTTCATGCATTCGGCTAAAGTACCGAACGCGAACGAACGCTGACTCACACTGTGCTGTTTTTTCTACAACCACAAAAAAAATTTAATGAAAAAAAAAAAATACTTGTCGGTAATACAGTTCTCTGTGTCAACAATTGAAGCACATTGGGGAAGTAGAGGAGAAAATCGTCGGGGGTGATCGCCGCCCCGAATTTCGGAATCACATCACCGGCCGATTCCAACAACAATTCGTCTTGTTCAGCTTCAGTTTCATCATCAGTGTTTTCAGGATTAACATCTAAATCCGTGTCTTGACACATTGTCTGAAAATCGTTCATTAATTCATGAAAAATCACTCAAAGTTTCGCAACTTTTAACGTAAGGACGTCAATGACGCAGTTCATGATAGCCTCCCGATGACCCTCCCCCACCAAAACGTCACTTTTGACTTCGTCAAGTAAGGAGGCGTAAGCGTCTAAACAACACATGACAACACCGCGTTCCTCATCAGTTCGGATAAGTTCGGCACATTTCGGTACAAACATTTGTAATGCTTTATAGAGAGCTTGTTTGGTTTCATTTGAGTGAATTTTGTGTAATGCGATACAGAATTGGAGGAGGGCTTCGACTGAAGCTTTCCGGATGTCGTCTTGTGGGTAATTTATCAATTTGAAAATCTCCTCAAAACTCTTCTCGATATATGGCAAAAACGCATTCCTAGTGATGAAAACACTCAAATTTAGGGTTTTTCACTTTTGTGACATACCCAGTGTTGATGCAAATTTCCCTAAGTGCCAGACAAGCTTGTTCTTTTTCTTCATTATAGGAATTTTCGACTGAGTAGCGACAATGAGTCGAATCGGCACTACTAGATGATACTGTATCAATATCTTCCTCTTCTTCTTCATCGTCGTCTGAAAGATCGGCATAAACGTCTAAATCTTCCTTTTCTTCGTCTTCGTAATGTGTGACAATCCCTTCACTGCTTTGTATACTATTGATCATTTGTTCGACTATTTTCGGTAAAACTGGACTTATTTCCTCTTTCATCACAATCGCAAGAGCTGCAAATAACGCATAAACACTTTTTCTAACATCAGGATCATCAGTTTCTTCCAAAATTCTCAATCCGAGTTGCAAAGACTCGCCCGCCAATGGCTTGAAATTCTCAACACCGATGAATTGCGCAATCACGGCGAGGGCCTCTAAAAAAATAGTATATTACATGACGAGAGAGAAAAACTTCACTTTATTCGCAATCAATTTACAAATAAAATTATTACCCACCAATGGCATAGCTCTGATTTTGGTGAATTTCTATATTCGGATCGGCGTTGATGTACACATTGAGCACTTCAATTATTTTGGGGAAGTAAGGCAATAAGCCCTCTTTTACAGCACTAGCGGCGGAGCCGAGAGTGCTTAAAGCGATTCGTTTCAGTTTCAGGGACCATCCGTTTGGATCAAGTGCGACGAATAAACGGTCCATTAGGGTTGGTAAGTAGGGCATTAAACCCTCGTCGAGATTTTCACAGAATGTCTCCAAGGCGTAGAAAAGACGATCCAGACTGGCCGATTCCGATTTATCTTTTTCCATTTGGGCGAAAACCTGACCCAAGTATTCGAAGAGGACTGGCAGGAGTTCGGCAGCGTATTGGCTGATTTCGGGCTGGAAACAACGTTTTGTATCCACGATGTATACTATTAGGAGTCCAACTTGACAAATTTAAATTTATTGACAATAAAACGACGCTGCGGGTGCCAAAAATCGACCAAAATTTCGACGAAAATCAAAAAAGTTTTTGTGGGTAGTAATAAATTTTATTAAATTATTAAATTTGGGTATTGGGAATGTTAATACAGATCGATGCACAATTAAATTCTCTTCTATTTAGTAGAATAAAAATTGGGGTATTTCATTTGAAAAAAATGAGATGGGTATTTGGATTGTTGCAAAAGTAACCTTAAAATTTTGGGGTTTGTTAATTTTTTTTCAAATTTTGAAAATACATGAAGAAATATCTGAAGCTTTCTCTTTAAAACGCCAAAAAAACGAATTCAAAATTTTAAGAAATGGCAGAGTTACCGATTTTTAATTTGGAAGGTGCAGACCCAAAAATTTTTAAACTAATTAATTTTCAAAGTAACTCTCCTGTGACTAACCCTGTATAGTATATTAACGAGCACGGAAAGTGATAAGTCCCGCGAGTGCGTTAGACACTTTCCTGCAAGTTTTGTACACTATTTTTCCTATGACCATAAACAATTTTTTTATGAACACTTTTTTTTCATAACGATTTATTTTTTATAATGGATACAAAAATAAGTTGAATAACGATTTATTTTTTATAATGAATACAAAAAAAAATACGTTGAATGAAAAAATAGAAAACATTCGAGTGTGAATTGTGCGTTAGATTTCTAACACACAGCGCGAAAACAAATTGCACAGGTTTTTGACCTCGAACGATATTGCCAACATATGTAATTGTGCATTATGATCTAGTTTCGTATATGGTCGTAGGAAATAGTATATTACACTTCTAAAGGTCTTAAAAACCCAAAAAAAAAAATGCATAAAACGTTATTGGGTCAAATTAAAAAAATTACGAATTCTTTGAGTTTTTCTGTATATTTTTCGACTCACTTACTTGTAAATGTTCGGCGAATTGTCCTAGTGCGAAAAACGCCGCATTCCTGACCACTGCATTCGGATTGTGAATCGCATTACAAACGCACTTGAGAAACGGTTCTAAATATTTGTGTCTTATCCGTTCTGAGCATCCTTCTGCGAGCACAGCTAGGGCCAAATAGGCCGCTTTTTGGGCGTAAATATCGTTCCCTTGTAACGCTGGTTCCACTCTGGTCAGTAAATAGGGGACAACCTTCTCTGATGGTATATGCAAAGCGATTAAATCCAGCGTTTGAGTGGCTATAGTAATGGACGTGAATTGGTCAGGATCCCCTAGGAAGTACTCCTCGTTGACGTCGTCATCAGGCTGTTGTGCCATCAATTGTATCAAAACATTGATAATCGGTTCGACGAGTTTATTTTTTTGTATAACCTTGCCCTTGGACCTAATTAACCAACCCACAACACTAATTGCCTTAATTTGGACTGTTGTGGGTTTGGTGTTGTCACTACCGATACGAAGGCACATTTCTACAATCAGTCGTACATGTGGTACCACCACAGCAACAGCAAACTCAATCAACTCTTCGAGGATTTCAAATAGTTCGCAAGCGCGTTTTTCGTCTTCTTGAGCAAATGCGTTGATTATTTCTAACACACGGGGGAGTAAATTATGATAAACGTTTACCATCTGGAACATTATTGATAACACAAGGGTTTTGGTGTTGAAAGAGTGGTAGTACTTGCTGATGTCCACCTATTACAGACACTAAATTGTTCATAGTCACCACTGTATAGTATCCTAGATTCGAATTCAACTCAGGAAGAGTGTTCAAAATATTCGTAAAAAGCACCGCAAAAGAATCTGCATGGGTTATGTAAGAGCCTTGCGAGATTTCAGTCATTATAGACAAGGTGTACATCCCCAACTAAAACAATTTTACATTTATCAAAGTAGGTTGTGGCTGAGATTAAGTTGGCAACACTGACGTGACCGTGGCTCACGTAACGGCCATGCCAACAGCCGTCCGTCATTAATGAATGACAATTGACTATAAAATTGTGACAATTGTATTTGACAGTCAATGTTGCCAAATTGAAATTTTAAAAATCATGACGATACACACAAAATGGGCTAATATCGTCCACTTTGAAACTAAATTTGACAGCATTGAGGTGGTAAATTTTGCCACCAAAGGCTGTAACTGAAATTAAGTTGGCAACATTGACTAACGTGACCTGTAATTGTAAAAGGTGACGGCTAAACTAGCGGCCGCCCGACGTAAATGAATGACAATTGACTATAAAATTGTGACATTTGTATTTTACAGTCAATGTTGCCAAATTAAAATTTCAAATTGAAGCCAAAACTCATGATAATTTGCGTATTTCCAACTTTCATTAAATTGGCCTGTGGTTGTTTGTGGCTGGTGACGGCCATGCCAGCGGTCAAAATAAATGACAATTGACTATAAAATTATGACGTTTGTGTTTGACACTCAATGTTGCCAAATTAAAATTTCAAAAATCATGACGATTTGAGTATTTCCAATTTCCAACAACACACAAAATGGGCAATATAAGTTGCCAATGCCTTTAGAATGACAAAAGAGTAATAATAATAATATCGTCCACTTTGAAAGTAAATCTGAGGTAGTCATTTTGGTGGTAAATTTTGGCACCAAAGACTGTAACTGAAAATAAGTTGGCAACATTACCGGCGGCCGCTCGTCACCAATGAATGACAATTGACTATAAAATCGTGACATTTGTATTTGACAATCAATGTTGCCAAATTAAAATTTCAAATTGACACCAAAAATCATGAGAATTTTAGTATTTCCAACCTCCAATCACACATAAAATGGACGCAAAAAAAGTTACCAATGCCTTTAGGGTAACAATTAAATGATAAACATCCACGTTTCGCGTGGTAATAACATCGTCCACTGTAAAAGTAAATCTGGCAACATTGAGATATTTAATGATAAATAATACCACCAAAGGCTGTAGGTAACTGAAATTAAGTTGGCAATATTGATTGTGTCAGGTGACGGCATGCCAGCGGCCGTCACTTAATTAGCTATAACATTGAGACATTTGTACTTGACAGTCAATGTTGCCACATTAAAGTTTCACATTGATGGCAGAAATAATGACGATTCGAGTATTTCCAACTTTCATTTGATTGGCAACATTGAATAACATAGCCAGTATTGTGGTAAATGAATGAAAATTGACTATAAAACTATTAAGTTTCATTAAATTGGCAACATTGAATACCGTGACCTGTGATCGTGACAATTGACGGCCATGTCAGCGGCCGCCCGTCACCAATGAATGACAATTGACAATAAAATCGTGACATCTGTATTTGACAGTCAATGTTGCCAAATTAGAATTAAAATTTGCCATTTTGGCGGGAAATTAGCCCCCGAAATTACCTCTCGGTCGAAGAGATTGTCGCTGCTGCACAAAGTGTGTATAAATTGCAAGACTTCCGGCCACGTGTTTTCCGGAAACTCATGTTTGCCTAGAATGCCAATAAACTGTGCAATTGCGTTTTTGACTAACTTTTCCTGTTCATTGACAAGGGCTTGTAGCATCCCTTGTTTAATTCTATTTCTTGTTTCTGCGTCCAGTTTATTCCATTGTCGTTTTTTGCCGAGTTTTCTTCGAAGCAGCACCGCAGCTGATTGTCTAATTTGGGGATTTGAGGAGGAAACAATCACTTCGCAAAGGGCGGGAATCGCTTCTGGTTTTTTGAAAGCTTCCTTTAGTTCTTTGGTGCCCTAGAGACACGTGTTTGTTAGGTTAGACGGGTTTATTGAGACAACAATTATTTACCTGTTGAATGACTTTACTGTTGGCCACGAGTAGTTTAGATAGAATTTCCTCCATCGTCACTGATTTTAATGAATGACATACACTATTAAATGAAATTAGTTTAATACCGGTTGTGGTATGGACGAATTACGCACCAGTGGATTGTGGTATGCTAAAATGTGAAAAAAATTGGGTTGGGGCTGGGATAATTGATGTGAATCATATGGAAAATGACAGTTGGCAGAACTCCGGGTTGTGGAGGCATCTGGTGGGAGCTTTGGGTACTGTGTTAAAGCGAGCGTTACACAAGGCGAACGCAACGTAAGTAATTGGTGCAAAAAAAATTAATATTAAAAAAAAAGAATTCAAGAATCTATGTTCAAAACTAAACTTTTAAAAACTGTCAAGCCAAGCTGGGAAACACATAAACACAAAGCTTGACAACTTAACAAAAAAGCAAAAAAAAATCTGGTTTTATTCTGATTAAATTTTTAAATAAAAAACGTTAAAGAAATATTAATTAAACTAAAATGCCACTAATTTTCAAAAACTTAGTAAAAAATGGTAAAAATAAAGTGTAAACTTGTTTTTTTTTCTCTACATAACCACACATAACTCTACATTGCACACGTAATGTCAACAAAATGATCTTGCTGTCTTTTTTTTGTTGGCAATAGTACAAACAAGTTCTGAAATAGCTTTTTTGTATTAAAAAAAACACCTTACAAATTCCAAGTGAAAAAATCTTAAGTATTCCAAGTGTAAGACAGATTTGTTTGAAGCTTTTTTACACTGTCAAGATCACGACATTTAGACTAGAGAGTGGACAAAGAAATATCATAAAAATTCAACAGTCATTTTAAGTGAAATCGTAAAAAAAAAAATAGATTTAATAATAAATAAAAAATAAATTATATAATGTACAAAAAAACTTGTATACTCTCTTATCAATTTGTTTAGTTTCGAATATATTTTTTTTTAATATACCCATAACGTCACGTTTTTCTGTTAATTGACGGTCTCCCAGTTTATTATTGACCTTTAAATGTTAAAAAAAGTTAAAATATCGAAAATTTTCAAAAAAAATCACCCAAAAATTATTTTCAAGTAATATACAGAATATCTAAATTCAGATATTTACATAAAACACTATATTTTTTACATTTTTGTATGTAGCTGTTAACGCTGATATTGCTGATATTTTTAGAGTCGATCCTGCTTAGTTTTTGATATAATTTTGATTTCTTTGACAAATACACGTTTTTTTAAAAATTTGTTACAAAAAAACTAAAAATAATAGTAAACAATAAATAAAACTTACTAACAAAATTTTAGGCTAAAATCAAAATTAAAAATACCAGAATGTAAGTACCTAATAAAACAAAAAAAAGCAAGTTTGTATATTATAACTTTTGAAACACTCTGTAGACTTAAAAATTATTTTAAGTGGGTTAATATCTATACTCGCAGGGACACTATAATATGTAGGATAAACCCGGAAGAAATGGACTTTGCTTTCTAAGGCTGCATGTCTCACAGCAAAATGTTAATTTTAATGTTTCAAGTTCAAGTAGGTTTTTCAAAATGTGATCCATCTCTCCCAGACTTACCCTAGATATGAATAATTATTTTATTATTATTTGAAAATTAATAACAGTTATTTCGAACATTGTACAAAGTTATTCGAGTTTCAATAAAATAATGCTAACTAGTCTTTATTTTTATTTATTTTGTGCCTTTGATTTATTTTAACAATTATTTTGACACAAATGAGCTTTTTTGCACAATCAAGTGTGGTACTTGGGTAGGATTTTTTTTTTTAATCTTTTAAGCTTGAAAAAAAGTTTTCCTCTTGCCATTTAATAGTGAGTAAGAACCGGACTTTAAAGTTTAATCGCAATCGCCAAATAAATATCTTGGAGGAAGTCGTACCCTTTTCGATTGAGAGCTATGACATCCTGAAGTAATCAGAACAGTCGTTTAGATAAAATACCGCACACTCGACCGCAATTTGAGGAACATTTTAATCGCAAAACTGATGTCAAAACATTTATTTTTCTTATTATTCATCTAAAGATTGACGTAGGTTTTGGTAAAAAACCTCGCTGGAAAATTCGCACTGTGAGAAAGTTTAAATTTAGCCGTTGGATAATCTTCCTTGTTCTTTTTGTACATACATTGTTATCGGCAAAAAATGTGCGGATGCGCGACTTTTGGTGTAATTCTCACTGACTCGCCATTTAAAAAACTGATTAGTCTAATAATGATTCGCCGATAAAAATGCGTCGTGTCAGAAATTTTTTGTTTATCTGTTTAAATTCGGAAGTTTATGCTTTTACGTAAACGGCAATACACTTAAATAAATCTATTTGTGTAAAGTTGAAAATATTYTGAAAAATGACTTCGATAATGGGGTTACTTATTGGAGCTAAATTTATATGAAAATATTCTCTATAAATAGGGCGATTGAGCATTGGGGGTGGCGAGAGGGGCACAGAACGTCTGTTCATAGACGAGTTATACGAGGTGTCGACGACGGCACTCTGAATTGCGTTGAAAGCTCTGCTCTGATTAACAAAGTGGAATACTGCTCCACATTCGAAATTTTTAGAATTGACCCYCAACTAATCACGGCGTAAAAATAACAATCATTTTATTATAACTAATTCAATACAAATAAACGACTATTTCACTGAATTCTACGCCACTGACTTTCTTATTACTGTTACTTAGCAACCAACCCAAGTAAATGTCACTTTGAACAAATTAAATGTCTTGTTGCCTAGCAACTATTACATTTAAGGTATTTTCAATTCAGTGGCGCACTCCACTGTTTCACCAAAAAAACTTTGTCCCATTCAAGACCTTTATAAAACTATTAAAATAAAGAAAAAATCAAATCTGTAAATTATTTTTTTATCAGTCTTTTTAACCCCGCCGCCTCCCCCCTCAATTTTTTTTGGTGCGCCATTGCTCAAAGACAACTTAAATTTTACGCCGATTTTAGGAGGTTAATATTTTGGTACTGTAGACTCCAAAATTGTTTGTCTACTTCATACAGTGTGTCTCCGAAAACAACACTTGTAAAAGATAAGAAATTCTCGATTTAAATTTTTATTTTTCGAGGTTTAGCCCTACTTGGTTTCTGTAAAGTGGCAAATATAGATTTCAAAACAATCGGCCAACTATGATTTTCCATTTTTTTTGTTTTTTATTAACAGATATGTCAGAATATTATTTAGTACTAATAATCTAAATGTATTTTTTTCTTCCTAATAAAAGAACTGTTAAAAATGAAATTCTTTGATTTAAATTAATATAAAAAATGAAAAATCATAGTTGTATTTGCCACACAAAAAGCTTGTCTTGAAATTNTCTCAAAATAAGATCGAAAATACGATTTTATTAGTTATTATGTTTTGAATACATATTATTGATATTAAAAAAATAAATAAAACATAATGAAGTTAGAACAAGAAGTTTGTATAAAATTTTTAATTTTTTCGAATTTTTGTTTGATTTTATAGTTTTGAATATAAAAATTTGTTGTTTCTGTTTTCAATTTCCGGTTAGTTTTTTCAGTTTTTTGAGTTTAAATTTCCAAAAGCTGAGTTTTTCTATTTTCGTCTAAGTTCAAATTATTAGGATTGTTTCAAATTTTGTTGTGTTATCTACTTTCTCTATTTCACAGTTTTTTTATTCACATTTTCTACTTTTTCTTCTCATAAATTTTGTAATTTTTTTTGGTAATAGTGCTCCTAATACACAAAAATATCCTATTTCAGACCTATTTGTGCAATTTCTTGTCTAGTCTTGAAATTTTTTTTTAAATTTATTTAGTTTTGCGATAAAAATGCTCTAAATTTAATGAAAAAAGAACGTGTTTTTGTAGTTTTTTTTTACAAAATTTCATGAATTTTGTTAGTTTCTCAACGAAAATGTTTATGTTTATTACCAATTTTTAATAATAAAATCTCACAAATTTTGGGAATTCTTTGGTAGAAACGCTCCCACTTACGGAAAAAATAACACATTTCAGACCTAATATTGCAATTTTTTGTCTTATTTTGGGAAAATTTTACATTTATTTAGTTTTCATGAAGAAAAAAATGGTTTTAAACTTATTAATGAAATGAGAATAAAGCATTGTAAACAAATGTAAGTCAAAGTGCAAAATTTAAACTCTCATAACTTACATGACATTTTTCTCTGGGCGCGAGTTCTGGCGCACCCTGTATTTAAAAATTAAGAATTGTGTTATTAGTGATTGTGAATAAAATCAGTTTTATATTTAGAGAGTGATTAGAAATTCCGCCAACTTTCAAGAAACAAACTTATCTTTGTTTGCGGAAATACAAACCTTAGACAAGTGTTATTTTTACAAAATGATGTAATTTCTCCATTCGCAGACAATTTGTCTCTGAAAAATGATGGTTATTGTCGTTGGTTTAAATTACAATCAGGTACACATTAAGCACTCGAGTTTTATGAGGGCCAGAATTGGGGTGATTTATTAGGAAAGTCGTTATAAGTGTGGCACAGACCTCCAAGTGGGTTAAAAGTTGCCCAACGAAGGAAGTATGACCACTTGAGATAAATTAAAGGGGCACTTTTGCTTCCACAATATATTAAAAAAGGCCGTGATTTATGAAAGTGACGAGAGATTTGTATGATTTCACTGTAAAATGTTGTTTACAGTGATCGAAGCGTCCGACAAAAAGCTCCACRTTTAATTGAAAACTAGCAAATCATCGCAGATGTGATTTAATTACGCAATGGTTTATGGGATTTTTATATCCCGGCAGGCCTTGTTCGATGGTTTACAGCCAACTAAGATAATTACAACACAATGAAACGACAAGTAGTAAAATCAAAATTTTATTTTTATCATAAATTACAAAATCAAATCGTTTTATGTACACCATTTTTGGTAAGTAGCTGTATGAAGTTTGTATATACATGTTAAATCATGATTATGTCTTACTACTAAACCTAGAAAATAAATATATTTACAATTGTGCAAAATTGAGCTGCGCGTTTGCACGATTGATGATGAGGAATTCCGAAAAAAACATAAAATAAATGACAAGTACAAATGTCCACTTAAAAATAGCCGTAAATACTCAATTTATAAGCTATACTTTACAGCAGGTTCGTAAAATGAGTGTGCTGTGTTTGCTGCTGGTGGTGATGGAAGAGATGATGGAATCGAAGGCGGCGGCGAACTCAAGTACGGCTTTCGGTCGCACTGAATTGGCTGCATGCTATTCGTCGAGCTTCGCATCACTGTAATAAAAAAAACAAAGTAATAACAATTAATAAAAAAATAAAATCACCAAAAAAAATCAAGTCCAGATCAAATTTATACAAGGTGTCTGTAAAAGAATGAAAATTTCATGAACGTATGTCTTGAATAAAGTGTTACGTATAATGTAACCTCAAAAAACACTCTTAATATACGTTATTTTATTAACATCCTGTATATTTTTCCCACAAATAAAAATTAATTGAGACAACTATTTGATTTAGTGTAGAATTGTTAAAAAATAATAGGTAATTTACTTCGTTATTATTTGTGACAATTGTTTCATAAAAACAGTACATTATGTTATTAGGAGTAAAAGTGATAGTTTATGTGACAAAGCTGAACGTTTATTTTTTTAAATAATATACCTGAGCCACATGAACTCACTTTTACTCCGAATAATATACTATTTTACTCGCAAACAAGTAAAGAGCAACACTTCATTAGCAAGTAAATGAACAAAATAATCAGGACGCTTTGCAAGTAATGAAATCTTAAAAGAAACGCTTAAAAGAAAATATCACGCCTTTTAAATATTAGTTTACGAAGCTCTTACCTACAGCGAATTATAGTTTGATATGTTGCGCAATGTTTGTAATACCTGTGGAAACCAAAAGGTCATTTTGAATATTAGAAAAAAAATTATGAAAACTTGTCTGCAACTGTTCTAAACTGCCCCAAGACGGGGGCAGTTTAGAACAGGCACGGGGCTCTTTTGAACCAGCTTTATACAACTTGAAAAATTAAAGATACATGTAAAAAACAAATTTATTGTATTATAAATGTGAAAATACAAATAAAAAACTCATTTCTAGCAACATTATCAAAAAATATATTGAAAATATTACAAATTTTAAGCTTTGAAAAAAAAAACACAAAAATTAAAAAGCTAGCTTAAGATAAAATGGAAAGAAGTTACGTCAACTGTTCTAAAGTACCCTGTGTTCAAAACTGCCCCCCTCTCCCCTAGTGCAAAATTTTGAATAATCTACAATGTACCTCTAGGTATAGAAATTGCTCTAGAAGTAAGTTTGAAACAATATTGATAAATGTCAATAATCTCACGGTAAAAATAAAAAATAGTATTTTTACTCCGTGGCTGAAAGGTAAAATTTTTACTTGTGACATTTAGTAATAAAATTGAAAGTGGTCACTTTTGTGACATTTGGAGATAAAACCTTTGTATTTGCATATTAGTGATCAATGCATAACATAAATTTCCAATATTTTTCAGAATCTGAAATTGGTTTTCAGTAATTTCTTATCGTTATTGTTAAAAGTATTTCTTGTAGGTATAGTTTTAAATGTTTCATAATTTAGTTTTGAACATTTTTCTTAATTCATTTTTTTTTGATTAGATAGAGAGTTGGTTACGTGATTACATAGTTTAAAATTACAAAACAATTTATAATAATAATAATTAATTATGAGATCTAAGTCAGTTTACAAAATTTTGAATAATTAATTTAATTTAATTTTAATGAAGGGATTAATTTGACGATGTAAATGGCAGTTAGGTATAATTAGATTAATTCTGAAAAAAATTGAGTTCGATTTCAATAAAAATTAGCAATTTTTAATCTTCGTATTTCGAAATATTCTAACAATATCTTAAACAATAAAATATCAGAAAGAAAAATACAAAAATTTATAAAAATTATTAGCGAAATTGGCCAGAAGATAATTAGTTTACAAAAATAGGTGTTACAATAATTATTAGGTAATTATTTTATTACCTATTTCTTTACGAAAATCTCGGTTAATTTAATAATTTTGAAAATCTAAAACAGAATTAATCAATTTTGTGAAGGACCACTTTTGATTATCGTAAATATTGTAATTTAAGAAATCTGAGAAATATATTACCAAAAACACAAAGATTAGAAAGATTCGACTTTCATTATTTTCATAAGAAAAAAAATTGAGCAGAAAACTATATTCCTACATAACTTAACCGATTTTTATGAATTAATTTTTTTTTAGTTTTTCTTCTCTGCGACACAATTTTAAGTTTTTTAATATTCCAAAAACATACGTAAATTTAAGTAAAATT